ACCTTGTGGTTGCAGTAGCGTGCGTCTGGCACAGTCGTACTGGTTGACAAGCGACGACTCAGCCCAACGCCAAAGTAAATGGTGAAAATGGCACGACCACCTTGCCACAGAACATTCCATTCTAGCATAGTTCTTTGCGGGTGTTGCCTGCGGGTGCAATCCCACCTTCTTTGTCTCGAAAGCCACGGACAAGCCATTTATGAAGAGTGCCACGCGCACTCTTCGTACAGCATCCTGGCATGCCAAGTGCACCGACTGGTAGAAGCTGTGCAGCCATGGCACCTCTGTGGAGAGATGCCAGAGCTCTCCTTCGCGGATTGGCTTCCCACCTTTGTCTGAGCAGCATCTAGGATTTCATTAGATGCCATGTTTCTAGTCACTACTGGAGTCGTCGGAAAGTCTCCTGATGTGTGTCCTGCAAGCCCACTCAGGCCGTGTCGCATTGGCAGGTCCTTTGCAGGAAACAAGGAAACAGCTTGATGCATAATTGCCAGCCCTGAACTACAGAAAAGTACACCTTGGACAGAACTACAGAAATCGTGTGTTGGCCGCCTCTTCCGCGCTGTATGACAGCATGCCAGAAACCTGCCGTGAGCCCGAACAAGGTCGTGCTATCCAAAACTCCACCACATCCTGCACTGTGCACGAGAGCAACCTCTGGCAGATCATCGGGGTGGTCCAGAGACGAGATGGCCCCAAAGCCGCCAACTGAAACTGAACCTCAAGAGTGCACTAGCAAAACGTCCGAGCAAAACCCAAGTCAGAGAAGTAAGCAAAGCAGGACAGCTTTGCGGCCCACACACCAACACAGCCCCCATTCCAAACTTTCACAAGGCAGCATGCTTCAAGACTTCAAGACCGTTTCGCGCTTGACTGGCCCACGAGTTCTGAAGAAAGATAAGTTCTGAAGGAAGATACAGCCAGCACGTTTTAATTTTACCATCCCTGATCGAAAACTCCATCGTGTGCCATTCCTACTGTGCAGGAGCCTGTGAGTGAAGTTTCGCACGCTGACCAGCTACAAAAAAATCACGTGCCTCAATCATGTGGCATGCCGGCCCTTGTGAAGCTTACTCTGTCCCAGGCCGAATTGTCGATCTTCTTCTGCTTCGACCTTGCTTGCCATCGGGCACCAAACGATGTATCGTGACTCTGCGAGATGTTCACTATGGTCACTATGGCATGGACCCCAAATCGTTGGGCGGTGGCTCTGAGGCTTCAGCTTGCCAGCCGTTGCCGCAGAAACATCGGCAGAGATTCCCAGAAGCTTGCATGATCTGAGCTTCGACATCGGACGTTCCCGAACCCAAGAGCTGAGACTATCCCAAAGGCCAGGGCTCAATACTCCTCCAAGGAATCATTGCCGCGGACTTTCGTCAGGAACGGGGCATTGCTGCTGATGGGTGGTCTGCAAGCTACTTCCTTTTAGCTGCATGAGAGCGCTCTTGATGTGCAAATGTAGACCAAGGATTCTACAGCTGGGTAGCAAACACATATTCACTACAAGCAGCCTGCAAAGTCGGTCCGCAAATGCAGTTAGCAGTTAGCAGCTCGCATCCGCTGTTGGATTGGCTGGGCTTGCGGCGGGTGGAAGAAGGCCACGCAAAACACGCATCACCAGAATAGCTTGCATCCAATTCGAGTAGCTTGGGGAACGTACGGCCTTAAGCCAGTCCAACACGACCCACGTCGGAATGAGGAAGGCCAACAACTGTACCCATGCCAGCTTCAGGACCTGACAAGCATTACGCATCGCAAAGAACTAATTTGGAGGTTAAAGCCTGCACCAACTGCACTTTAGAAGGCGGACGGATGAGAGACATGCTGACATGCAAAACAACTGCGTCTTGGCACACCCTTGTTTCCATGGGATCTGTATACAACACATACTTGACAGACTTCGGCTCGTGCCGCCTATTAGTGCAGCTCTTCTTTTCTGACTATGGTGTGGATGGGATTTCCAGGCAATCATCACGCATGCATTGGCTTGGGTCTAGGAAGATACAATACCGTATAGTACGTCAAGATGCCTTTGCTAATACGGTATCGTTTAAGGGGGAAGGGGTGTATCGTCAAGATGCCTTTCCTAATCTCAGATCTAGAAGTGTGCGCTTGTGAACTTGGGGGGCTTGAAGTTTTGGTGTGTAGGACCAGCAGAACTTGTTCCCCATTTAAGGCCGAGGCCTTCCAGTTTCCATCTCCCCTTTTCGGTTCAGGCTCCTTGTGGGTCATGAGATCGCCTTGTGCATGGATGAGACTTGACCTTTAGAGGGATTTTCTTTGGCAGCAAGCATCGCTTCATATTCTCAAAGGGTCCTTGTCGACCTCATCCAGGAAAAGATTGCAGTGTGAAACAAACGAAACAAACTCCTGATTCTACATTCTGCTTTCTTTCAAAGAAACCGCCTTGTGCCTGTGACCTTTGCTTGTACATGGTCAAGTTCCCACTCTCATTGTCTGCGGTTTCCCGTGGAATGAAACAAAGTGGTCGGAGTGGAACAGCTCTTGCCGCACTTCCCCTAGTTCAGTGAACAGTTAATGCCCGCAGTAGAATCAATAGGAGGACCTCACTTTTTTTCACGGGACCATTGAAGAGATCTTGGCGGAGCCATATGTTACGCGAGCTCTCATACAGTGCTTCCCTCTCAAGTCCAATAGGCACCTCTCCAATTGTATACGTTTGGCGCTCCAGCGGTTGCCTCACTGTCGCTGCAGAAAGTGTCATCGGTGGGCCATGGAGGCTCTGGTCACTGGATGCACCGTCGCACTGGTGCCGGGGAAATGGACCAACACGCGGTCAGACAGGGGCCATGGATATTATTCTTGGTCGGCCATGGAGGTGGCCAAAGATTGCAGCGGTGCCATGGGTCGGCGATGCACTGGTTCCATGGAAAGGTCCTGTGACCATGGATGCATGATCACACTAGTGCCGATTTATTGTCATGGCTGCATGATCGCGCTGGTGGTCAGTGGTCGGCCATGGAGGCACACTTTCCCGTCCCCCCGGGCTTACGAGTCAGCATCTTTTCCTCGACCCGAAGTCGCTTCTTTTCCGCAGCCCGACCCGCGGACTGGAATCTCCAAAGTGCTGCGCTGGAACGACTTTTGTGCCCGGCTGCTAGCAGCACGCAAGCATTTACAATCACCGTCGGCCACGAATGTTTTCGTGAATGGGATGCTTTGGTGGCTTTGGCGAATGGGTGCAGTGGTGCCACGGCAATAGAGGCTCTGGCGGCAGCCTTGTCGGCCACGGATGCGCTGGTGCCAAAAGCGAACAGAATTAACGTCCTCTTGCTTTAATTGGCACATAGGCTGGGATGTTTAAAGAAGATCGGAGACCGCTTCATTCTCCGTGCCTTCCGTGCTAGTCGCAACTTGGGTGAAGTAGCTGGGCGAATTTGGACAAGAGAACATGACTTTGGAGTCCACGCGCCGAAATGTTGGTGCGGGTGCTACAAAACGCCACCGATCTGCGGAGATAATCGCCTCAGACCTATGCGGATCTCAGTTCCATGGAAGGCTTGCTTGAAAAAGCAAGCCCCCGTCGTGAGCACTACCTGTACCCAGCGTTGTCACAGTATCACCTCTCATGAGTAGGAAGTTGCCTTGATCTTGTGGTGCTTTCAGCTGTCTTTGGATACAACTGATCTCGTGACTTCATCACGAGCAACGTGGCTATGCCTCCGAGGCCAGAGGCACGTAGTAGACCAGCTGCGGGGGCACATCCATTGTCACCTCCAAAAGAAGAACAGAAAGAGCTAAGGCGCTATGATGAGCTATGAGCTATGCTAAGCCACCCCACAGGTGCTACTGCACCTCTTCCCTTCACATGCGCTAGCAGCACCAGCAGTTCATTGCCTAGAGTCTGGAGGACGTGTTTTATTGCTTGTGTTTTGATCTTTGTAATTTGAGCATTTCGGTGCTTCACGAGCCGCCCCCCCCATTTATCATTGGAGCGAATCCAGCGCGAGGAGGAATGGAAGTGAAATCAGCCAGTGATGTGTTCGTAAGGGAAAATTTCCGCGGCGTCAGTTTGTGCGGATAAGGCACGAAACGCAGAAAGGCAAAGGGCGTATCGGAGAAAACATAACGAAGAAATAGGGTCGTAACGCAGAAGCAACTCTTCGAAACAAGAACAGCAGACCCTACTGTAACCTTAAAAGCCGGGGCAGGTAACGCGGAAGCAGGCCAATACGAAACTGAAACCAGGCTAGACGCTTCAAGGGCGCGCTTGCACACATGTGAGACTATGCACGTTTGACTTTTTGAGTCTTGTGCGCAGTGTTCAGGCTCAGATGGCGTTTTTGTCCGCCGGGTGGGGGGGTTGGGGGAGGGTTGGGGGGGCGTGGGGGTGGGTTACACCGCTTGTTGCGGACAGAGAGCGTCGGAATACCGCCAAGAGTCCCGCATATGCCCTAAACCCCTGAACCCCTCAACAACCCCTAACCCTTTTTTGCGAACAGGTCTCTTGCAGTCAGACGGGTCCTTCTGAGAAACCTCCCTTCGTGTACTAAAGGACGGTCCTCAAACCCCCAAACCCCTAAACAAAACTCCCACAACCTTCCCAACCCCTATCCCCAACCGAACCTTTCCATGTTACGCCCACGGGGTAACAACTCGGCATGTTTCCCTGTAACGGCTGCAGAGGCTTCACCGTTACCGCCCGCTGTTTTTCCTCAAGCTTTCTGTGTTACTCTCCATTGTTTGGACTTGGTGGTTTCCTTCAGTTTGGGCCTGGGACTTGGGGGACTTTTCGGCTTTGGGACGACAACAAGGCACTCAGACCGTAAAACGGCTGCAGCTATGGGAGACCACAGTGTAAGCCTGCCTGGATGTGGAATCCTGGCTTTGGCCTCAAGTGACAAGAGATTGTAAATGAAGCTACATGAGATGCTGAGATGCGGGCGAGTGGTCCCACGTGGGTGGCACCTAACCGGCACAAGCTTCATGTGATTTCATGAATGCGGCACAGTGCGCCGTAGGCAAAAGCTCAGGCTGTGGCCAGGGACTCGAACATCACAGTCTCATTCCTTTTTTGGGGAGTCGGCCGGGAATCAGGATGCTGCCAAGGAGACTGACAATGGAATGCTTCGCAGCCTAGTGCTTCTGACATGATGTGTGCGATATTTGAAGCGTGCCGCAGCAAAATCTGGAGGTCCACCTGTGATAGGCATGAGGAATGTATGTACAGATTTACCTGTGAGGCTTGTTGCAAGCCACCACATCTCATCCAGCAGCTTCCATGTTGTCCATGAGCCAGTCTGAAAGTGACCTGCGCAGCAGTGCAACTTTGACGAATCGATTGCCATGACTCAGGCTATTGAGGCCCTGCCTGATGTTGGGGAAATCGAAAGCCAATGTGGATGGCATGTGGAACCCCCCGAAAGTTTGCTCCAGCTCGCCTTTCAGCTGGACGGCAGCCCTGCCGGAAGTGGAAATGGGTAACCTAGTCAGCGCCTAAGTATATCTCAGCCTCGAGGTGGTTCGGAGTCCCCTATTTTTAACTCGTCCCGTCGTGATGTTTCAGGCAGGTAGCGTGCTCAGTTTCATCACAACAAAAAATGCGGAGAGCTGTTCAAGATGTTGCTTTTGCTGCCCTCAGAAACACAGGGAGAACTCCGCTTCTGCAGAGCAGGTGACTTGGGTCTGTGACTCGGCGTGCGCGTGTCGGAACTTGGATGCGCAAAGTTCCCTCTTTGACCGCAATGTGAGCAAAAATAAGCGTCAATTTCTGTCGGCCTGCTGGTCAAACCAGATGACATCAGGCCGTCATCGAAATCAATTTCCTCGACGCCCAAATCCTGGCTGGATGTCAAATCACCTCTGTGCAATGCAACCTATTTCGCAAACCCGATGTCAGCTCTGTGCGGTTGGCCTCCATGATAATGGCCACTTGCGCCATCACCCGATCTTTGCCCACCAGCATCATGGGATCCTGGTGCTGTGCAGTGGCTGGCTGCAAAACTGTGAAACTGACTGTTTCCGGGCCTTCCTTTCCTTGGGTTCTCTCTTTGGCAGTTGCAATGGCAATGCCGAGAGTGGCGGAGGCTCCGTTCCCTGCCACCAAGCATCGTGTTGAATTGCAGGCTTGCAGTGTCTTGGTCGTGGCCTGCTTCGTCTCGGCGGGCTTCAACTCTTGTATCGCCTCAGTTCCAATCTGCTAGATTCTGCTAACTGCAGCAACTTAGGAACTTTGGGTAAAGCCGGCGCAGCCCTGAGAAAGCTGCTGGTACGGGTCCAGCGCCCAGCTGGCGCAGAAGCTCCTCACAGCGTTGAACACCTGGGCACCGTGTCGGATTGGGTCGAGGCGACGGAGTCTGCAATGCTCTGTGAGTTGGGAAACCGGCTCGGCCCCATCTTTGCCTGAACTCCCGAACGGCCAAAAGGCTAGACCGAATCGACAAGCTCTTGAGGGAACGCAGGGGGCCTGTGCATACACCTCCTTCGCCTTGTTCAAAGCTTCGACCTCACCAGAAGAGGTTGATCAACGTATGCATCAAGTCCAAGACACGACCACACGGTTTTTGCATGTGACAATTAGTGCAAGCCCGCAAGGAGCCAACGGCCGTGCTGCGGTGACCAAGATTATGAAGTGCTGAGGCTTGCCTTCAAGACATGCAGGCAAACCGCATACTTCAACTTCGACAGATCGCAGCGATGCCGTTTGAAAAGACTTTCCAAGATCTCAAAGGACCGGGCAGTTCGAAACTGCAGGCAGTGCCTGCCACACTTCCCAGGTTGCTGAAGAGTTCGGATGCCTCACTGACATGTCGGTATGGACTGCTTATGCGAGCGACATTCTTTTGGCAGGCCTCCAGAGCGTTGGCATAAGCTTCAGACAGAAGCAATTTTGAAAGGACCTGCTTATGCACGGGCGGTTAACGGTTCTGCCCGTTGCAGTGCAGTTCGGGCCAAGTGCCGGCAGAGGTCAGGCCTGGATATTGGCTAAAGCAAAATGGGTGTGAGCTCTCAGGTGCAAGTTGTCAAGGTACCTTGGCTGATGGCTTTGGTCCCCTTGTTTGTTCTCTGAAATGTTGTGCAACTCTTGCTAAGCAACTCAGCAATTACCATCGCATCCTTCGCAGCCTTCAGAGCTCAGAAAGTGCGCTAGCAGCCGAACTCGGTTTAGAGCTCTCGGCCTGCAATGCCGCACCGAAGTAGAGCCAGTACTTTCCGGGTCCACCTTCGGACCTTGTGCCAGAGCAAACGAGCTGGAAATGTGGTCCTTCCCCCAGCCACAAAGACAACAGCTCGAGACGTCGATGAGTCAATGGGGCCAAGCTTGCAAATGTCTTTTGACATTGAAGACATGTAAGGACCCGAACTGGTCGCAGTGCTGTCGGCCGGCCTTCGTGAGGCTTTGTGGAATCGTTTAAGGCGCTTTGTTGCAAAAAACCTGCTGGCCACACTTGAGTTTCTTGGGTGATGTTTGTCAAATGTGTTTTCGCCTGGCTCAACAGGAGGAGGGCTTCGGCTTCACGAAACCTGTCTCCACTTTGCCGGAAGAGCTCAAACCTCAAAGTTCAAAGTACATCGTACCGGAACTTCCAGTAGTTTCCAGGTCGCTGGACATGAGCTCTCCACGCAGCTTCCGCAGCCTTGAGAGCCTCGAGGCTGTCGTGGCTTTGAAGACAAACCTCCGTGCATTGCCGTGCATACCAGTTGTGAGCTGTGCACATCTTTGATCAGCATCTTTGCGCGAATCTCTGGAAGCCCCGCGGTCCCAAGTAGCAGAAGTGCCGAGGCTTCGCCCTAGCGTGCGATGATCCATGGTTCTCACCGGGTTCTCCGAAGTATAGGTTGCCACGTCTCGAGCCTTGATGTCCTTGTGCCGTTGACATAGCAACCGCACCTGCATCCAGTATCTAGGCTTTCAAGGGTCATGCGATGGTTCGTGAACCGAAGGGACGGGTGGAACCTTCTTCGCCATGTCTGCAGCTCCTGCATAGTCCTTGCGGTCAGCTCAGTCAGCCATGTCTCGAGCTTGCCTGCCAATCCTGCAGCTTGATTCTCTGGTCTGCTAGCTCGAGTGCGGCTTCGGCGGCCTGTCTCCTGCAAGTGGAATGCCGGACTATGCCGAACTCGCTGGATGTGTGATGGGCCAGCCTTTTTCCGGCAGCTTCAAATCGCTGGATGGCCGTTTCCATTGCCTTGCGCAGGGCAAGGCAAGCAAGGCGTCACCGCACTTCTTGCATGCGATTGGTGAGTCCATGTCCGCCTTTTGGGCGTTGATGGTTTCCTCCCGCGCGCTTCTCAACCGGGACATTTGCAACCATGCGTTGGCGAGCTCCTCATCCTGGCAGAGATAACGGGACAGCCAAGGATGCACACTCACTATGCCCTGCCTGCTGCAAATCCAGCTCCTCGGCGCAGGCTACTACCTGCACCCACTTCGTTTCAACAGTAAGGACCTGCACTGCTCACCACGTCCCCACCTGCTTGGCTGTTTCAAGGGCCTTGGGATCTGGCGTGGAACCTTTCATGCAAGAACCATAGCCACTCCTTGTTCGCCTGCAACACGCTTGGAGTAGAAGCGGTCCTGCGAGTTGGACTTCGCACTTGGCTCGCAATGAAGCCAACTCCATTCTCCTGACATGATACAAGGAACCTTTGCTGCAATCGGGGTCAACAAGTAGAGGCGTCGCCTGTTTCCCATCTCGTGGAACAGATCCGACGACTTCTCTGCAACTTGGACAGCTCCATCCATGTCTCGCAGAACCTTTGCGCACTATTCATGTGGAGGCCGCCTTGTTCACTAAGGATGCGACAGGGCCTGATTCACTCGAATGATGGCATGCAGCATATGCCCCTCGATGGCCCTGTAGAGCATAGGTGACAAAACAAAAAGATTTGTGCGGCAAGGAAGTGTAGGACAGTGTAGGCATTGACCGGCCTGTCGCCCACTGTGCGTGCCCGATACAGGCAAGCACGACAAAGCCGACCGGCGTTCTGGCTCTCCAAAACAGGTGGGGCACACCGGGCACACCGAACTCTCAACGAAAATTGTGCTGATGCTGATGCGCCTCCGGCTGCCTCAATGTAAGGAAGGCCGCGCTTGCAATCTCCGCGAGCTCTGCCTTACTGTGGCTTGGTCAAGCGGGGCTCTTTGCAACTTTGCAAGAAGGCCTCTCTCGACAGCGGGTGTCCATTAGCTTCCCAAAGGTGCATAGCAGCCTGTGTGCGACAGTGTGCGGTGCTGCGCCCCAAGAACGAACACACACACTTCGGTGGCGTGCCTCGGCAAACTTTGCAGTATCGGCTGGGTTCTCCTCATTTCACCGATCTCTGGTTTGGTCATCATGAGTCACTGCAAGTCCTGGTCCCAGGACCAGCCGGCTTTCTTCTGAAGGACAAATGCCTTGCGACAAATATCAACAGCTGTAGCAAAGAAACTCGAAGTTCTTTACTGCACTCGCCTGCCACACCTCATCTTCGCAGAACTTGAAAACTTCCAAGGACTTGTCCGCCGAACGAGCAGCAGCAGGGTCGTGGGCCGCAGCCTGGACCTCTGCCAGAACCAGCAAAGCGCGGCCCAAACCACGGAAGTGATTGTCATCCTGGAAACGTTCCAAAGCGTCGCAAGCATACTCTTTGGCAGCACTGTAATTCTCTTCCCCAGCTGCCGCACCAGCGAGGACCAGCAAACAGAATCCTTCGTAAGAGGACACCTCAGGCACATCAAGCTCTGCAAACGCTGCCAACGCTTCCTTTGCCATTTGAGCTGCAGTAGCAGTGTTTTTGTCTGCGAGTTCCAGCTCGGCCAAGCTCAAGTAGATCATGGCTGCCCCGTGCGCCTGGTTTTGTAGTGGCATCGCTTTGAACCTCGTGAGCTGCTCTTCTGCCAGTTTTCTCGCCCAGCTATGTCTTCCTTGGCACCGGTAGCTGTGAATGAGAAGACGCAAAGCGCGGGGACATTGAGGAGACTCGTGTCCATCTGCAAGCTCCGCGAAAATTTGATCTTCGCAGTCCTGAACCAGGAGTCAACGTGCAGTTGTGGCTCCTCCTTGTTTGTTTGTTTGCTTGTTGGTCTGCTTTCATTCTTCCTTCCTCTGGGGGCACAATCCTGAACGTCATCGCCCGCGGGGCCGCTCGGCTAGTTGCTGCGAGGCCGTCGGAATTGAGAGAGGGTTCAAATTTCTATTCGCACGCTCTTCTACCTGCCTTCACCCCCATGTCCCGCTCCCATGCCCTCCAAAGTCCTTCGGCACCAGTGAAACCCCACTTGTACGCCCTCGACCCTCCCTGAACTAACCCCCCCCGAAGCTTGATTTGCTGGGGACATCGGGGCCTGAGACTGCTCTCTCCCTCTGTCTTTCTTTCTTTCTGCGCACCTACACCCCCTCCACATTGGAGGAGGCCGCCCGAAGGCGTGCGGGTGGGTCAGGCCTCTTCTGTGAAACTTGTGTGTGAAGCTTTTCTGCTTGCTGCGTGGTGCTCGGGATCAGCGAAGGGCCCGCTAAACCCATCCCGTTGCCGGGTGGCTGAGTCAGGTGGCTGAGGAACGCGCACTTAGCGGAGGTGCCCCGTCTGGGAGCTTGGCGTGGCGCACCTTCGCGACGGCGTTCTCTTCTCTTTCACCTTGTCGCGCCCCGAGCGGGGGATGAGCGCGAACCACCGTGGGACCCCGGCACAAACATGTCCTGGTCGTCAATGTCCATCTGTACTGCAGCTGGCGCAGTGCTTGCGTGGCCATTTCGAGCACCTCGTCCTGTTAGTGGCGCGTTCCTTTAAATCCCCGGCCGGACCCGGCGCCTTCAGCAGGCTTCTCAGCAAGTAATGAAGGCCATGGAGACCCAGACTTCGGCCACATGATCCGAGACACGAACATCAACATCGAGAACAACGTTCGCGCCCAGACCGAGAACATTGACCCATCCTCATCTTTCAAGAACAGAGCTCGCCGAACCCGGCACACGAAACGATGTCTTCGAGCACCGCTGCAACATGACGGTCAGCTTCGACGTACACTCAGACCCTTTGCCGTCGAGGCCGTGTGTCATCAAGGAGAGCCAGGCCGAGCGACTTCGAAACAAATGTGGACTTGATCCAAGGTGGACGGGAACTGCAAAACGCAACAGGTATGCCATTCTTCGACTGCAGCGCAAAGACTTTCTCAGCTGGGTAGAGTCATCAAGACCGCACTGTGCACGACAAGTACCAACGCAAGTAGGCTTCAGACAACAAGTCCGAGCGGTCAGCAGACTTCAGAGTGATTCTGAGACAAGGGTGAGGCTCACGTCTTACAGCACTCCGCCCATCTTGGTATCGTCAAGGCTGTCTTCGACGGACTGCCTGTTTGAAAGTGTTCTGGAACGACTTTGATGATGGTGTTGTTCATGTGGAGATAGAGGGACTCTTCTGGTGTGTGGCAGGTATTGCACAACACAAAAGCCGACGTTCGAGATCCCCGAGAAGCTAGTGTTGTCATTTCGAACACGAGCGTTCTGCGAAAGAAAAGCCTCCTCCTTTACACAAAGGCACTCGGGTCGGGGTGAGGCGTGACTGTTGCCACCATTTGCCACCCGGCTTCGTTGGATCCGCTAAGTGCCAAAGACATGCAAAACGATCTGACGCTGTGCTGGCGCTTGACTTGAACGGCGCAACCGGCTCGCAGGAAAACAAGCAACAGCACAAGTACAACACCTCCTAATTAGTTCGGAAGTCGGGTTTCGATTTGCAAAGCCCCACGCTTTGTTGTTTTTAAACACCTGCAAAAGGTAGCAGGTTAACAGAATTAAAAATAATTCCCTGCCTGAAAGGAGCCGGCTTCCAGCAGCAGCTCTGCCTGCCTCAGCGTGTCATTCTTTGTCGCGCCATCTCCCTCCGAAGTTTTTTGCCAGAAACCATCGCCACCTGGAGGTGGAGCCGGAGGCCAGAGGAAGAGCTCAAGTTGCGGTCGCATGAACCATTGTGTAACACGTCGGCCGGGACCCCAGTTTGGGCTTGCAGCTGCGGTGTCAGTATCTCTAAGACATCCTGAACAGAGAAAGTCTTCGCATGTCTACAGCAGCCACTAACTACCACTGCCAGTTCTGTCACCAACACTATGGCTGATACCAAGAGCTGCGGAAGCTTCAAGCTGCCTCCGTGTGTAGTGAGCTAGCAGCTCTTGGAGTGCCAATGGCTGCTTGTCCGGAACCCAGTTGGATCTTCCAGCATCGTGAGAGACACATTAACAGCTGTTGTGACAAGACAAATCGTAGTGCCGTTTTTCCATGCAGGCCCTGGCCTCCAGTTTATGTCAAGCGGGCTGTCCAAATACACTCTCCGCACCTCAACAGCAGGCGGCGGTAAGCACGCAACAAACAGGTTGGCAGTTAGTTGCCTCGGCGCTCTGGTACAAAGGCAGCTTCTGCCTCAGCATTTGACAAGCCGTTTCCATCCCCACCATTCATTGTAAGCGCTGATCCCTTCTGCCTGAATGACAGCTGGCCGTGAACCCACAGCCCCGAGGATGCATACAAACCTCCCAGCCAGGAGCCCAGAGTTAGAGCTACTTGCTGTTGGCAATGTCGGCTGATGTCAGGCGGGGACTAGAGATGTCCAGCGCCACAAGGCTGCTGAGCTGTTCTGCCACCTTCTACAGGTCTTGCAAGCAAATCTTCTGCTTGGGACCGACTGGACTGCCTTGCCCTGAATCTGAACGTCATATACTGCCAGTAGGAACACGCTGTGGAAGGTTTCGTGCTCCGCTGGGAAATCCTGACAATCGATGGCCATTGATGGACTCTGTATGTTCCCATCACAATGCGCGCCCGCTACACCAGCAAAGCCAGTCCAGTGACAACCGTAAAGTGTCAGCAATGCCATCTCTGTTGTGATCCTCTGTGCTCGAACGCACAGTGGGCACTCTGACCTGCTCAGCGCAAGGCAGGCTTTTCATGTGGGTTCAGGTAGGGTTTGGTGGGGGCGGCGGGGGGGGGGGGGTGTCGGGAGTAAGGGGAATAGCCTTTCCTCCTGTTCACGCACAGCACGACAAGATACATCCGCTGCAAGATCGAAACAGTTGAGCTGTGGCTTTGGTTTATACTGCCTCACCACACACTACAAAAAACAAAACATCTTGCTGCAAATGCTGCGCTCTGACCCACGTGTGCCCCTGTAAATCTAACGTGGCGTGCTCGGTCCCAAAGTGTATTCCCCTCGTTGTCTTCTTACGTGTACGTTGCCGACTTGGCCAGGTGCTGTTTCGGTGGTGGATGACTTCGGAATGGCAGCGGGTCGTCTCAATGCCTCCAGATAACTCAACATCATTTTTCAAAGCGAGGGTCCACGCTCGCGGGACATGCAACATTTCGCATCCGGCATGTTTGCCTTTGGGAACGGTAACGCTCTCGGTGAACCCACCGGTTCGTAGCGATTACGTTCTGCGTCTGGCACCGACTGTTGCTCACAAGTGCCCGTCGTGGCGCTGAAACATGCGCGTGGCATCGATTTGCGTTCACTGTGTGAGGGCTCACGCATACCCACGGGTTCCCTTGCTTCGCTCGGGTTTTGGCTGCAAATCGTGGCGTTTTGCCTGAAAATCTGTCGCGCGTGATCATGTCCGAATTGTGCGACATCGACACGATTGCCGTTGTTTTTCCGCAAAATCAGCGCTTTCGGCCGAACCCCTAATCTTCATGTTTCTGATGTTGCGTCGTACGGGCACGGGTGTTCTGGCTGCACAGATGTGCTGAAAACATTGATATTCACGGATACCCTTATTAACTTATTATCACTCACGAATGCACTACTGGTAACATGGGCGTTCTTATAGTGTGGGCATGGGTGCTTTGGCCGCACGGACGTTTAAAAAATGACGGAAAGGCACCCGTCGGCAAAAACTATGCGTGTGGCAGGTCACGAGCCCTCACGCTGTGTGAGGGGTGTCGTGGCGCTAAACATGCTTGCGGCGATTTGTGCACAAGTGACAGCCCTCTCACTGTAGTGCCAACATACCACGCGGAGCCGCTTGAACGCGGATTCTGAGCTGCAAGCTCTGGAGCTGTAATACTTGCAACGTGGATTTTATGCTGGCACAAACGCAGTGCGTGGGAGGACGTCTGGATGGAAGCACTCATGGGGGAGATGCATGCAACCACAAATTGTCGCCCCACCGTCGTTGACGCTTCCGTCTTGCACGTGGCAGCGGCTGTCGTTTCACGTGCCCTCCTCCCATTCTTCTCGAGGAGCAGGAGCAAGCACAAAGGATGATCACAGAAACAGCAAAAGAGCCACATAAAGAATCGACATCAGCATCATCAAAAGCATGTTCTCCCCAGTACCGTGACTATGTGACTAACGAACTGGTCATGAACGTATTTGTAAGCGCCTGCCCTCATGACAATGACCTAAACACTGCGTGTCTTGGCTTGTATCCTGCCTTTCTTGTTCCTGACCCCGGTGCGGTGTTTGGTTGTTGGACTGAGCTATTCTCCTTGCTCGGGTCTCCTCGCCCATGTCACCTCCCATGTCACCTGGCACGGGCCTCCTACTCCTACTCCCACACAAAGACTCCTGCGGAGCAGAACAGTAAGTATCCCTGGCGTGCCCAACAGAGTCAACAGAGAGTCCTGGTTGACTTTTGCCGCGCAAGCCCCAAAAACACAACAGACATAGCATAGTTCTATAGTGTACCGGTCGCTCGTGAGGGGCCTGCTTTGGAAGCAGTGCTTGGAGATCTGGCTGGGTACCTCAGCGACAAACGCAAGAAACGGGTGGCCGGCCAAGGTTTGCAAGGCTTGGTGGGGCACTCCATCCGACCGCGCTTTCCATGGTGTTTCCGCCGAGCAGGACATAAATCTCGTTTGCAAAGGTCACTGACGGTTGGACCCTGTAGAAGCTTTCCTGCCAATCGATGCAACACCGCGAAACATTCCAAGCTAATGCTTGCGAATGCTTCCACGGATGCTCAGCCACAAGCGGGCATGTGCATGGTCCGGCAAGCTCGTGCTTTCATGAAGGGTCGCCAAACCCAGCCCAAGTTGCTTCTCCACTCGTCGGTCATGCTCTATCCGACAACGTAGTGTGACATCAAGCGACAGCGACGCAGCATCCAAAAAGACCAGGTTTGCCGACCCAGCACAAAAATGCGCCCGCATGCGGCCACATGTGCATGCTGGCAGCACGGACCCATCGATAGCTAACCCCGCATGTGTCAGACAGTGAACAAGCACGACAAGAACGACAAGCACGACAAGTGAAGGCATCCGGTCGTCCTTGACCCACACATTGTCGGCCGCAAAGGTGGCAAACAAAGGCACGACCACCAAAGTGAGGACGCTGAGGACCCATAAGCAGTAAGCCTGGCAGTGAGCGGAAGCCGTAGAGATTCAGGTTTCTCTGCTCTAGGCCCCTTTGCAGGCAATTCAATTGAAGCCGGAAGGCCGTGGAGCATCTGGGTGCAACAAAGAGTCTTGTGTACGGAAGTGTGTGGCACACCACGTGCTGGAACGGCCTGGGTTCGCTCATGTCAGAAGAACAAGCTTCCATGGACTGCTCTTTGCGAAGTGGCCAAAGGGTCATGCTTGTCTGCGCGTCAAGCGCAGCCCCTGGGCTGATCTATCATGGCAGCACTTTCCGGTGGCCTGGGGGCCTAGCTTGAGCCGCGAAAGCTGCAAGAGTTCCTCCGTGCTACACGTAACGTGCGCTCCAGCAGCATGTAGCAGCCCACGAAGGCCGCAAAGCCGGTGCTCCTGTCGCAGTTTTCAAGCTTCCGTCGGCTTTGTCCTCACCGCGCGATCTTCGGCCTGCTTTGACTTTTGCAAGGCAGAGCTGCTGAACTGGTGGAAAGTAGCGTGGACTCTGCTGTGATGTCCTGCTTCTTCGGCAGTCTGAGGAAATCGGATGCATTGCAATCGATCAGCTCCACCTCTGTGTTCTGCAGTGAGACCACTTCTGAGCACATGGAGCTTAGGGTCCCACGTAGCACACAACGCCCGGGCGCGCCCCGATGACCTCGACTACATGCCGGGGATTGGCCAGACATGTACGAGAGCTGCAAGCGATGGATTTCGTGGTGTTAAGACGTGTTAAGTCGTTAAGCTGCCGGCGTCTCCAGCCGTCGCAGCTGGCATGTTCTCGGAAAGCCTGTCACCGACGCGTCCCTTCGAGCATCCAGCACAGCACTCAATCTCGCCTCGAAACAAAGCGCAGCCGAGGTCCAGCATACCGTGCCCTGCAGTAGCAGGCACGTAGTTTCGATCATGGTGGGCAATCGCCGCATCGTGCCTGCAAGGCCGCTTTGTGGAGCGTCTTCTCTCATCCTCGTCACCTCAAAACCAGAGCACCAAGGCAAGCCATGTGACAGTCGGCTGTGCGGCGCGTGGGGGTTCACCCTTCTGGTGTGGCATGACTACCCCTCTGCAAGGGATCTGTAAAATAATGGGCGACGCATAACATGATAACACATCTGCGGTCTGCACGCTGCTTGTTGAGCTGCAAAGCGGGGTGGAGGCATGGCAACGTGTGTTTTGGAGCTTGTGGATTGTTTTTTGGCATGAGTGAGAGCGATCGAGCGAGCGAGAGAGCGAGAGAGAGAGAAAGAGAGAAAGAGAGAAAGAGAGAAAGAGAGAAAGAGAGAAAGAGAGAAAGAGAGAAAGAGAGAAAGAGAGAAAGAGAAAGAGAGAAAGAGAGAAAGAGAGAAAGAGAGAAAGAGAGAAAGAGAGAAAGAGAGAAAGAGAGAAAGAGAGAAAGAGAGAAAGAGAGAAAGAGAGAAAGAGAGAAAGAGAGAAAGAGAGAAAGAGAGAAATAGAGAAAGAGAGAAAGAGAGAAAGAGAGAAAGAGAGAAAGAGAGAAAGAGAGAAAGAGAGAAAGAGAGAAAGAGAGAAAGAGAGAAAGAGAGAAAGAGAGAAAGAGAGAAAGAGAGCAAGAGAGCAAGAGAGCAAGAGAGGACGCAGAGAGGACGCAGAGAGGACGCAGAGAGGACGCAAGAGAGGACGCAAGAGAGGACGCAGAGAGGACGCAGAGAGGACGCAGAGAGGACGCAGAGAGGACGAGGCAGAGAGGAGTCAGAGAGGAGGCAGAGAGAGGAGGCAGAGAGGAGGCAGAGAGGAGGCAGAGGGGAGGCAGAGAGGAGGCAGAGAGGAGGAAGAGAGGAAGAACGAAAGAAAAAAAGAAAGACAGAAAAGAAAAAAAGAAAGAACGAAAGCAAGAAACAAAGAAAGGAAGGAAGGAAGAACAGAGAAAAACAAAGAATGAAAGAAATGAAAAAAACAAAGAAACAACATATAAACAAAGAAAGGGAAATGAATATTGAATGAATGAATGAATGAATGAATGAATGAATGAATGAATGACTGAATGAATGACAGAAACAATGCATGAAATGCCGACAAAAGGGAAGAAAGAAACATCACGAAAGAGACATAACAGGTACGAGAGAAGCAACGCAGAATAAGAAATGGAAATGGAGCGGGCCCGTGCGCGATTCCATGCACCCCATGCCCAAGTAATGAAACATGAAACAAAGTGGCAACGACGGCCGAATGCTTGCTGTCAACCCCGACGGCTGTCAAGCACCGTATGACGTGGATAGGTCCGTCAGGCTGTGGCTCTGCAGCTTCTGAAGCTGCCGTCGGTTTCTTTCCTGCAGAGGGAAAGAGAGAGAGAGAGAGAGAGAGAGAGAGAGAGAGAGAGACATTTCTGTGCACATGATTTGCACAAGTCCCACAATGGTTCCGTGCCTCTGTCTTAACGGCCTCCTGGAGCCGCTCCTCCTGAGTCAGCCTTGGCTCTTGGCTTCTCTTTGGTGAATAAAGTGTTTTTTGACTTTTTGAAGAGGGAAACAGGGGGAAACAGGGGGAAACTGCCCCCCGAGGCTGTTGCGGCTTTGCGCCTTTCTTTGCCTCACATTCTCGGAGGCTCCACAAGGCTCCACAAGGCTCGAGAGGCGCTGGGGGCGTCCTGCCTGGCTCTGCCTCTTTGGACGCGCCTGGCCAGCCTGACGCACAACGGCATTCTTCACACCTCGGCCCCGCTGCCCTCCCGAATATCCACACCGGAAAAGACCAGGGCCTTTTGGTCTCGACTGGCCCGTTTTTCCATGGTGGAATTGCGGAGGATCCTACCGACATACTCCGTAGACTCATTGCTCACACGAACTGTTGTCTTCTAGTTGTCCAAGGCCTATTCGACCGAAGAAAGAGATGTGGATGTCGTCGACGAGCCCGCCTTGCGAAACACATCTGCCAAAGCAAGCATGTTGAAAAATGCCGACTATGGGAGCCCATGCCTTACGGGCAGAGTGCCGTCGGGACCTGGCTACACTGTATGCCTGTGACACGTCAACGTGTTGCTGGAGATGCGGCACAGCGCCTTGTGACGTAACAGGGGCAGCTGTGGCTGCAGGGGCAGCGGTGGCTGCATGGGCAACTGTGGCTGCAGGGGCAGCTGTTGCTGCAGGGGCAGCTGTGGCTGCAGAGGCAGCTGTGGCTGCAGGGGCTGCAGGACTTGCAAACCTGCAGGAAACGAAAAAGTAAAGAGGAGAAAGTCGTAGAAACCCAGGCCGGATGATACAATTTTGTCAAAGCACATGTTGCGATCTTCATGCTCGTACGCACACTGTTTCGGGACAGTCAGTGCCCTGCTTGCGAAAGTACCTTGTTGCGAAACCCCCAGGATTTCTTGGGAAAACAAGCTGGGCATCAGCTCTTGCAGCGGAGAAAGCACCATTTCGAACGCAAGAAAGGCAGAAATCCCGTTGGCACATGGTGCCCAGCCGTCCAAACGGCTGGCCAAGAGGGAAAGCACGTCCCCCAACCACGGCTTCGCGATAGGGAAACCTCAAAAGTGTGCCCCCGGGTTTTTTAGACCTAAACGAGCACTGTGCTTTCAGGCAAGGGCCATGGAAGCCACTCGCCCACCTCAGCTCTAAAGCAAGGATCGTATGAAAAGCAGACTGTATATATGGCGAAGTCGAGTCATAGCACGCTGCCGCTGTGCCACACATCACCCAAACGTCGAGGGGGCAAAGTGCAAAGCGAAGAGATCTCCCAACGAAATAGGCCCGGAAGGAAGAGGAACGAAAAAGACATGCAAATGCATTGCCGCGCCTAAATGCATTCGGGTAGTTTGCGGTCTTCCAAGTCTCTCCAACACCGACACCATACCAAAGCCGAACAAAAACACAAATAGACTGGTGGTCACAGCATCCAGGGTGTGGGAGACAAATGTAGACAAATGAATCCCACTCGTCCCGGGCAGGCGTCGTAGCATTCAGGGTGCAGGAGACATGGGGTGGACAATGAGTTGACCATGCGCCGCGTCTTTCAACTGCGCCGCGAGAAACCCTGTCACAGAACTCTGGCCGTTTAAACAAATCAAGAACTTCCAGCTCACAGCATCCAGGGTGTCAGAGACAACAGCATCCAGGTGTGTAGGAGACAAATGGGGACCCCAAAAGCCTTCTTCAACAGGGTAGGAACTCCCAGGCAAGCTGTTTGGGGAAACACAAACTCGGCCCTTCGAGCACTCTAAAGGTTCCAGACTTCCAGGCAGCCGTTACTTGTGGCGATGTTAGCCGTGTGTGGAGCCTGTGTAGGCACAACCAGTCGCGGCTCCTCTAGGAACCGCAAGCGCGCCTGCTGGGACGTGTCGGCTTCTTTGTCGTCCGCGCCTCTGAGTGGTGCAAGATGGTGCCTTTAAGACCGGGAGCTTCCACGGCGAAGCGCAAGGCCCAGGCCGACAACTCCTTCGAGGGCTCCTCTGCAGCACCAAACGCAAAAAAGATGCAAAAAGCAACAAAAAACACGTCGGGCAAAAACGTGCCGCATCCTATGCCAGGCCTGCTCCTCCACGCTGGCCTCATCCTGCGCTTGGCTGAAATCCGTTTCTTGCGTGTCGTCAGAATCCTCCAAGCACTTCGCTGAAGAAGCATTCTGGCACGTCAAAACCCAGAGACTCTTTCGTCCTCCTGCGCATTAAACTCGCTATCGGATGACGCATCGTGAAAACCAGCATGTGCCCAGAAATCCTGGACCAGCATCTCAATTGTAAGCACGCGTTGCGCTGGCAAGGACTTCTCGACGTGGCCTCGTCATCCTTGCGATCTCTACCCTCCAAGATGGTGAGTCGCTGGCCACGTGTCTGCCTTGTCGGGCCTTTCAACTCAAGAAAGCTCCGAACAACAGTATGACATCCTGCTGCGAAAACTATTCCAAGACCACGGCGTTGCTGTATGTTTCGCTGTGGCAATGCCTCAGACAGGGCATTGCAACGCAAGGGCTGTGCTGACCGTTTCCGTCGGTACTCGTGGGTTGAAGGGTGGGAGCTCCTGCTTGGTTCTTCCAGAATTCATCAAAGCAAGGGCCCGTCTTTCGCCCTGTGAGGCTTTGGGTTGCAGAGTCACAGAGTCATATTCGCTGAAGCTGAAAGCTGTACGATTTGCATCTCCGGCGCACGAATGTTTTTATCAAACAAATCCTCAAGGCAAATCGAGACCATCCAAAGATGAGGTGGTGAGGAGGGCTAATTGCAGCATCTTCATGTGTTCTAGGTCGGCAAACAGCAAACTGTATTTTGGGGTGCCCACCCCTCAAGAATCTGTCGCGCGTCCACAAAGAAGCTCAGCGCACAAAATCCGGACTGGATTCCCCAGCCCGGGCAATGGCTCACACCTCAGTCTCTCCTTCCAGTAGGTGGGATTTAGAGCTCTGTTCTTGGAGCCCGATGCGGCCCATCAAGGTTTCCACTCAGTTCTGGCAAGGTTTTGGGCGATTCGCTCATCTTTTAATGGCGGCAAGGTTCACGCTACGGATATGGCGATCTCCCTCAGATCTGCTTGGCTAACCACCATGCTCCTCCCATCTCATATGCCGATGAAGACCGACATTCTTTCAAATTGGCAGATGGTACATCAGGTGCAAAGTGGCGCCTCCGCTGCTGCACGCGTCTACTAAGTTTCGCACGTAGTCACGAAGTCCGTCTTAAGCTGGCAGCAATCGAATCATGTACGATCCATTTTGACAACTTTCTGTATTCGTTAGGCCTTGAACTTTCTTTCTTTCGTTCGGCTTGAGGATCAGGGTCGAATCTCGGTCCCCTCGCCCATCCCCCCTCCCCCCGCCATGCAGTTCGAGTGGCGGTACCTTGTCTAAAATGTGGCCCATATCCTCAGATGTGGCGCCTGGCTATGCAGGTATAGGTTTCTTCTTCACGTCCTTTAATGTCTCTCCTCCTTTCTTGCCCTTTGAATGCTCCCTCTTCCTCTCTCTCTCGCAACGAGGTTTGTGGTAACCCACTTGATCACACCGAGCAGATTCAAGCTGTCGTGGTTCTGCTGCACACAAGGAGGTCCAAGGCGTTAACTTGCTCGGACCAGAAAGGAATTGGACACAAACGGTGCCCTCTGTTCAGGTCACACTTTGCTTTCAGAGCATCGATGGAATTTCAAACTTCCCAAGAACAGAACACAGCCGGTTGATCAAAGTGGACCTTCGATCGGCAACTTTAAAGATTGGCAGGTGTGTGATTCGGAACGGAAGAAGGCTTGCAACATGAAGCTGCCTATTTCACGACCAGGCCTGTTGGCACTTTGGGATCTTCAACAACCATGTCAAGTCAATGGGAGATGAATGCTCGGGCCTTGCTGCTGTCGCTGTCGGTTGCAATGGGATCACCTCAGGCCGAAATCACAACAAAAATGTGGGACACCGCACGCCTTGATGTTGAGAAGTGGATGGAATGCCGACATTGCGTCGAGCAAGCGGCTGGCTTGCGAGTCCACTTCCGACTCACCACCCTCGCCGCCTTCGTCGCCCTCGTCCTCCTCACCTGAATTCATGCTCAGCACACTGCTAACGTTAACACGGCAGGTTTACATGTAATCTAACCGGTTAACAATCAGATGAGGGCAATGCCGCCAGAGTACGAGCTGCCTGTGGACTCCTCGTACGCGTGTTGTGGTGACGGCTCACGTCAAAGCGCGCATCGGCTAGTTAAGCCGTGTACTGCTAATTGCACGGTGCCGCATGTCACTTCTCCGCCAAGCACGCCTCGGATGCATCCGCAGTATGTCCAGCATTACGCCCGCCCATAGCGATGGTATGTCTACATTCTGCAACTATGTATGCCGAGCGTTTGGGTCTGACATGTTGCTAGTTGCTGCAGGATGTCTGCTTGGCTCCTCTTTCAAGATGACCATTCTTTCTAACCGAAGGCTGAGAACATCGCCTGCAATGCACAGTTTCTCGCGCGCAAAACTCCGCGGCCGCGATAATCCTACTGGCTGTCTCTGTACGCAAAGGGCGAAAGGAAACGGGCGGTCTAGGGCAATGCTGCTGAGAGCTGGGAGGGCATTCAAAGTCTGCAGGGTCCAACAACCTTCGGCACGCTTCCTCTTGCCGATGTCAACAGTGTCGGCCTTGAGATGATTGAACAATGGATTGAACATGACTGCACGTACTCTTGCGTTCGCAATCGGAGCGGCTTCCGGAACAGTATGACTCCCGGGTCTGACGACACGAGGTCACCGTGAGGACTTCCCCTTCCACAGTCAAGCTACGGCACTTTTTGCTCCCAAGCAGAGGCGCTTCTTCTGCTCGGAAATCACGATCTCGACCATCACGTGCATGTGGAGAGGCAGCCTCCCATCGAGTGTTGAAAGAGATCTGGGCTGCTGCTGATAGGGAGCAAGATAAACATGACTGCAGTCACGAACCCTCACCTGGTCACAGCAAACATCGAACATGCTTTTCTCCGCTCTACAGACCATGAACAAAGTAGGAATCCGCAATGGGTTGTCTGCCCGCACGCCGAGGCGGCCTTCTCTTCTTCTTGTTCTCCACGCCGTGTCCCTGCATGCAGCAGCAACTTGAGCTGGTTCTGTTTCACCAAACTTCGTGACAACATAGTTTGCCATAGCTTGTGCCCTGCACTCTACTTGCCTCACGCACCGGCATCTTGCATGCAAGTTTCGAGTCGCAGGCTCAGTCCATGGAATTCAGCAAGAACGAGACGCAAGTCTGGCGCGAAAACAGCTGGAAATTGTGCTGCGCAGCTGAAGCTTCAATGAACGTTTCAGGATGTAACCATTGCTAAGCCCACGTTTCGGGCTCACAACCCCTTATGGCCGTCAGGCAGACGACGCACATTTACAATCGAAATACGCCTCCGGCACATCCTGTTCGGCCTCTTCGGCGCCTCAACACAGGTAAAAGGTGCAGCTCCAAGAGTTCCGAGAAACCCTGGCGAAAGCGGGCAAAGTCCCACCTTGAGCCTCACATTGTTCAGCTTGCTGACTGTCTGCAAGGCTCACATGCCTGGTTTGGAACATGAACTGAGAAACGCATTGCAGTGCGGTCACGGAAATGCTTTGGGGTCCTGTACATCTTCAAGCCGCCAAATAACGACACTTCGACTGGCTCAAGGTTGGCGGGATGGAACTGGAAAGACACCTATAGCCAGCATCCAGCGGAATCCAGCGATGGTGTCCTGTGATGCAGTTCCCAGTGCTTGAGTCCAGGGCCAATCTGCATCCGCCCTGCATCGCCTGAAGAAAGATCCTCTCCAAATACTCCAACCTGAGAAAGCAATTTTTTCTCGACTATCCTCGACTGTGGCTGACTGTGCGAAGCTTAGATGCTTGCTGGGACTCTTACGCCCAAGGCAGCAGGTACACAAACAACACCGTCACTTCATCGGGCCTAGTTGGACATGAGATCTTGGAGCGCTGTTCTCACGAGCTCTCTCACAAAGTCGCTCAGACCTTTGCAACGTGAAGCCTGGTGCCGTGAAATCACACTCTCGGAATGCACACCTTAGGCCAAACACGCGATTACCTCTCTCGAGCTTGGCAGTTCAGGAAGGATAGGGAAGCTTTCCAGCACTGAGTTTTCGAGCACCCAGCAAGTGAGCAACTCCCGCGTTTTCTGCATTCTTCTGCGCATGCCTGAGCACCAAAACTCAAGATCACCTGACCAACCAAGCAAGGACCACGGTAGGGCGCACTAGCTGCACCCGTATCCATGCGCAAGGCTTGAGGTTGTCTGGATTGATGTCCAGGCCAATTGCGCGAGCCCCAAGCCTTTCGGGAGAAAATCTAGCAAGTGATCACCAGCGGCTTAATCGAGAGCAGAAAGCCGCGCTCAAAACCCACACGGGAGCCACAGCAGCGCTAAGAGGAGTCGCCAAGGCCACGGCTCTGCAGCAGCAACGCACCAACCGCCCAGGCCACAGCCCAAATCACAGCAAACATCCTCCGGACCCACCTGAAAAGCAAAAAGAGCTGCGAGCACAAGCTGAAATCCACTCGGCTTGGTCTGCGTTCTTCAGCTTGCAGATGCTGCGGTGCTTTGCTGGTGCTTACTCGTGTGCTTGAGGGGAGGGTGCTTGGAAGAGGTGTTTGAGGACAACTGAGGCCACAACGCCAGCAAACTTGCAGGCAAACTCTACAGTGACCTGCACAGAATCGTTGCGTCAGCACCAATCGCGACAGTCCTGCGACAAACGGCCTGTGGGCAGGTGATCAGCGGAACCCACTGTCCAGCATAAGGTGCCTTCTGCAGCTGCAAATAGAAAGCGACATGAAAATTGAAGTTCTGTGTCACGAACTAACATTCCTTAGGCCTGTGGCAGCAGAGCCGGGCACTTCCCAGGCAGGTCATTTTGAGCACCGCCGGAGGGTTCTGCCCAACTCGCCATGTGAAAGCATTTTGCAACGCACAGTGGCCCGGAAAGCTGCTATGGAAATGTCTGGGTATAGCTGTGAAGTTTTTGCTAAGCTACCCCACTCTCACCGCCTGTTTCTGAGCACCCTGGCTCGAGGCTTCTGAATACGGTGGCATGCGTCGGGGCTTGAAAGATACGGAAAGCCTGCAGAAGCTGCAAAGCTGGCACATGGCTGCATCACCGAACCACGTCATTGGTTAGCGCACTTTCTGGGAGCAATGGGAGCAATGCACGTCCGCCAATTGGCATTGCCAGCAATCTAGCTAACGGAGAGCTAGACTCTCAAGGTGCCTGTATGTACACGTACAGCCGTACAGCCATCCTCTGCGAACGCTGGTGGATGCCGCTGGATGCCGCTGGTGGCTGCCGCTGATGGATGCCTGTGGTCTGCAACACTTCCAATACCACTTGTCTCAAGCGGCATCGTCTCCAGCTATGGCCAGCTTTGGTGAAACAGTCTGCATCGTTTGGCTACGGCGGCGTTTCTGATCCTCCCTGGTTCAGACGATGTCCAGCCAAGCATACTTATGCAACCCGTAGTGTACATGCTGACTCTCGCGATGGCGTATTGCCCAAACACTTGCGACAAAACTACCTGACCTCTCATGATGCTAGCCCGAAGCCCTAAGCCACTGCAAATTGTATACGGCACAAATACTTGCACAAATGCTGACAAAAAAGTGTTTGGGCACGGCACCTCTTAAGCTCTCACTGGGCAGGTTGGCATCTCCTTCTCTGTGAAGGGTTTCAAATCATTAAATGTAAGCAGAGGATGCACCCACGTCATGCAACCATCCTCCACATCCTGGATAAACTGTGCCAAGGTCTCGTACGTCATCTCCCGGACAGTTTGCTGGACAATCTGTAACTGGTCCTCCGGGTGTCCAGTGTAGACAACAACTGCTGGGAAGGAAGTGATGCCAAAATCGTTCTCAATCCACTCGAGGGACTTCGCATTAAACGTGGATGCGTAGGTCATGAAGTACCTTGGGTAGAAAGTGTGCGCCAGTTTCTGGAACAGAGGGCGCCAGTGTCTCTGAGCCTCGACTAAGGACTCGTGTGCCGCAGGGTCTGGCAGCAAAATGATGAAGCCTGGCACAGCGCGGGACACAAATGTCATGCAAAGCTACTCCCGATTTTTTCATGACCGAACCTGCATCCTGCTGTAGTACGTACCAGTCGTAGCTTAAGTCGTTTAGCTCGCCAAACTTTGGGAAGATATGGTCCGTGAGAAAAGTCACCACTGCGCTGTCATCTCGCACACGTGCAGAGGATATCGCAGGCTCATACTGATGTTGAATACTGAGCCGCTCTCCATCTGCTGAGGGTGCCTTCTGCCAGTACCAGTTTCCCGTGGGCCGATACTTTTTGCTTACCTTTTGGAAGCTTTTGAGGAAGCATTGGGCATGCAGAGAAATACTCGGCTTTGTCTCTGACGACTTCATTGGAGGCTTACTGCCTGGGTCGAGGACTTTGACGTGGGCAGGTATTTCGTCTGTGCAATGCTCAGGTAAAGGCTCCCCTTGCAAGGAATGGAAGATACCGTGGCGGATTCGCAGCACCTTGGTTCCGTGGGTACAGGCTTGAGGCCCGGAGGCGTAGGTACTTGTGAAAAGAGGCAAGGCAAGCCAGACTAATTTCCGACTGCAAAAAATATGCAAAAACGAAAAACCAAACCTGAGCAGTGGCCTTGAAGCCAAGCCCAAAGAGAACTGCAAGTGCCAGTGCAACCAGAACGATGATTGGTCGGCGCGTGCTCGGTTCAAGATCATCGCTGCTGTCCTTCTTCCTCACTTTGGGCTTGAAGCCTGCTGCATCCTTTTCCACTCTCTTCTGCTTTGCCCCGCGTCGCCCTCTCTCCTTCCATGTCTCTGTGGCACTGCTATGTTTTTTCTTGGGCCTCCTGTGACTGACCTTTCCGTTTGTTGCGCTGGAGTTGAGATTCTTGTGATCTGCCAGCTCATGCGTCTCGTTCTCTTCGACGTGTTCTTCATCCCCTTCTTCCGTTTCCTTCCTTGACAACTCTTCCTCAGGCTCGGACCTTTCAGTTTCCTCTTCCTCCTCCTCCTCCTCCTCTCCATCCTCCCCATCCTCCTCCTGAAGCTCTTCATCATCATCAGATTTCCGCTCTGCTTCCTCCAAAATCTGCTCGGCTTCGTCGTCATCTTCATTTTCTTCTTCTTCTCCTTCGACATCCTCGTCTTTAGCAGGTATACCTGTGACCTGATCATGGGAGTCCTGCCCTTCATCTTGGCCTCTCTCCCCACCCTGCTCCTCCTCCTGGCTCGCTGCCGGCCGCAGCACGTTCGAAGCGTTCGAAGGTGTCCCTGGCAGAAGGTCATCGAGGTAGCCGGCTTGGATGTTGAAATCCATTTGAAACACTGGCAGCGGCTCAACCCGTGTGAGACCAGGGGGCGGTCGAAAGGGAGGTGGAAGTCCAGGAGGAGCCGAAGGCGAAGGCGGAGCCGAAGGCGGAGCCGAGGGAGGAGCCGAAAAGTCGGTCCTCTCAGCCCTCCCTTCCACAAGGGGGACTTGGGGGACTTGGGGAACTTGGGGATCTTGCTCAAGTGCTTGCATGTCTGGTTCTGGTATGCATGTGGCGTCTTCCTTGTCTTCTTTGGGCCTCTTGGAAGGCTGGGAAAGCGAAGCCGGGGAATCCTTGGCACACCACTGCGGCATGGGTATCGCTTCAATCGCATCAGCGGATGACCGAGCGGAGGTTGAACTATCTCCCCTGTGTTTCTCCTGCATCTTGTGGCCGGAGGTGCTGAAAGCCTGTACAGAGCACGATTCTCCATCCGTGATACAGCCATGGCGAGCTTTCTTTAACTTCTCGTCGCGGGCAAAGCCATTTGTGGCAGAAACGTATGCCAGGATCCCCAACGTCATCGGCAACAAAGCACTTCCCAAGTCATTGGCTACCGCATCAACGACACTGACGACAACACTGTGGAACGTAAGCTCGGATGATGCAGGCGGTGCAGCTTCAAGGAACGGGGTTGATCTCCCGCAGTCTGCCAACTGCTTTCGCAAACTCTGCAACTCGGCCTCTAGCTCTGAAATTCTGTTCAAATACGAAATCTCCTTCTCAAGAGTTGCAACACGGCTTTGCAGCTCTTCCGCCATCTCCTTCTCTGGCTCGCCGCCATCTGAACCATGTGATTCGGTAGCATGCTCTCTGTCAACAAGGGATGCAAGTAGCATTATCAAATGAAGCCTCAGCTGACTGCAGATTCCGTACGGCAGGTCACCCACCACAGAGCCTAAACTGCATTCAAGCCACCGCCGCATGGCTCCTCGTCCAGCTCGGCTGTGAAAACGTGAGCCACCCGACTGTTTCGGTGCGCTCGCATAGGTCCTAACACATAACCCCTTGATCCTGACGAACCTGCCAAATGCAGAGCTTGCAGAGCTTGAAAGCCTCGGAGTTGCCGGAGTTGCCCAACGACTAATCAGTCTGAAGTCTAACGGATCTAACGGCGACAAAGGCTTCCGCTACACTTGACATGTGATCAAGGAGATAGAGCGTGAGAGCTGTGTGCTTCCTCTACATACACGATTGGACTGAGAATCGCTTGCTTGCATTATTTTGCATTTCAGTCACAGGTCTATGACCAGTGACATCACGAACTTGGCTTGTGCCAAGAAGTGAGACTGGAACACCTGCACATCAAAGACCTTGCAAGTGATCTGCGAGATCCGCCATGTATCCTGCGAGCTCCGCGAGTGCAATTTTTGCAGTTGAGTGTTACGGAGCATACTCCCTGCGATCCGGAAGCTTAAAAGTAGCGGTCAGGGTCCGAAGTTCTGGCATGCCTCAGTAACAAAGCAAAGGGACTACTCGCACTCCAAGGCCATTACAAACTGAGTTCCTGGCTATCATGCCACACGGGGCGTCAGCTTTGGAACGCCCTGGGCTTTGTTTCGCGAGTTGAGCTCCATATCAAGCGCCTTCAATCGGCTCACCTCGGTCGTCACTAGCAGATACGAGTGGCGCAAGCGCAAGTGGAAGTCGGCAAGGAACGCTGAACAGCTCGCTTTCTTTCGTGTGCAGCTGCAACGTGAGTCGGCCGGTTGCAGCATTACTTCGACAAATATTAAGTCTCCACATTCCTAAAAGTCACCATTCATCACATTGCCATTCATCACATTGCCACGGGACGAATGGCATTCGGAAGGTGTCTTCTGTCTTGAGACGTGTGATGATGTTTGCTACTTTGGCAGCTGCACTCCTTATCACGTCCGCACCGCGGCATTGGAGCCTTTCCCACGCATCAACTGGACTTGACAGGGAAAGACCTGGAACTCTCCACGCGTCATGGATTCATGGCTAGGAATCGGGATGAGCAGACAAATGGCAAATGGGCGGCCAAATCCATGGTGGCCTTTCGCTGCTGCAAAACCCTCGCCACCAGTGCACGAGGGCCTGCCTCTTGCTCTTTGAATTTCCGATGATTTCCAAAGCATGCTTCATTGGTGGGCATGGGCGTGCCACTGACACTAAGTCAATTCTCGTTCCTCTCTGCTATGTTTAGACTCTTCAGGGGCAGAGGCTTTGGAAACTTTGGGATCGGTCTGTTCTTTTGAGCTTCGGGTGTCAGGGTTTAGGCAGGTTTGGTCAGGTCACTTGTGCAGGTGTCTCTCTGTGCATGCGTTGCATGTCGGTCTCCAGTAACAGCACTGCAGCAGCGCGACAACATGTGAGCCAAGCTACAACTCTATGTGCAAAGACGTACTCATCTGAAGCAAAACGCAACTGTGCTTCCAACGTCGGCATCCTTCTTGGCAATATCTTCCTCACCTGGCTTTGCATCCTGTCAGACGCGGTGCCCAAAGTACTCATCTTGCCCCATGCCAACTCCCACGAGCCTTTATCCAGAGGTTGCGCCACTCCTTGCAAGAACACATCCACGTTCGGTCAACAACTCCGCTCCGGTCCCCATGCCTCCACATTCTTCACCATCTGTGTGTGTAGAGGGTGGAGGACTGGAAAGACTCTGGCCTACACGGGAGAAAAAACACCTCTCTACAGAACACTCCAGGCATGCCCTCGCCATCATTCAGCACATCACTGACATCACTGAACGCACTCGTGATCAAAAAGACCTCTCTCATTGCTTCCTAGAAACGCTCGCTGCCACGAAAGGTGCCACCAGAAAGTTGATGAACCCATGTTGCGAGCCGGGCCGATTCACCTCGCTTTTCAAAAAAACCGCCTGCAAGGGCGTCCCCCTTTAAAGCCGCATTAGGTCATTAGGCACCTTCTCCCGGTCGTTCAACATCCCGACAGGGATTCCCAGCTTCCTCTCCTCAACACGTGCTCAAACATTTGGCCATGCCATTACCACAGGAAGCCTCGGGTTGCAGCTCCTCATCGCCCTGCTCAAAGAACTCATCCAGAACGCGCCACGCCCAAGCACGACAAATGTGAAAAGGCTTCCTGGCAAAGATGGAATGTCAGATGAGGGGAAAACCATGGTCACGGCGTGACAACTTTCCGGACGGCAAGCTTGCATCAACTGCCGGCAAGACACAAGGGATTGGAGACGTCAGCGAAGTGCAAGAACAGCTGCAGCCACATGAGCTTGTTCTTCCCGCTTAAGACGTTTTCAGTGTAGGCGGGCGTGAAGGCCTGAATTTCGATGCATGGCATGCTGCGCCAACTTGAATTACCACATCGTCCTCCTACCAGAAAATATCCTGCCTCAGGGTGGCCTGCCTGCGTGTCACAAGTTTCTGACTCCATCTCGTAAACTGCGCTAATGTCCTCAAGGGCACCAACGTGAGGCAACAACAGCAACATGCGTTGAGGACTCTATGTCCCGTTTCTGGCCCTTTGTCCATGCGCATCTTCTGAGATTCTAGGTTGCAAGTGCCCTCCGCTTCCTCGCTTGCCAGAACTTCTACAGAAACAGAAACTGAAAACAAACACATCGTCGAAGATGTAGAACAGCCGTTACATGTGTCGTACTCTTTCTCATGTGTCGTACTCTGTCTCTTCACTCCTCAATATTTCTTTACGGCAGTACTGCAGAACTCGTTTGGTGCACGAAGCCTAAATAGCCTTGTCCCTCCCTGCATAAAGGGAGGGGGCGAACCGAGACAGTCGGCATCGGCACAGTTCCAGCCTGTAGAGTCTGTAGAGACTGTAGAGTCTATGGCCTGTGATTGTAACATGGGCCGAATCCCCCAGAATCCCCAGCCGCTTCTGACCCTCAAGTCCTTGACCATATCGAAATGGTGCACGTTGTCAGTGTGCAGGATGGTGGCGATGCACACTTTCCGCGCCTCCTTCTGCTCCTCGTTGGAGGCAAGTGCGAACCTGAAACGAGGAGCGACGACTGAAAACAGAATCCTACGCAGGCCGTGGCTTGTGTGAAAAGATAGGTGCTCCCACGAATTACGCTAATTACGCTCTGTCTGAGCTTCGGGCACATCTTTCTCTGGGTCCCGACACAGCTGAAAAAGGGCTGCGCAGTGCATGTTCTCCAGTGGAGACTTGTCATTGTACCGCAGGGCGAGCTCATGCTTCGTTTCGACTAGGAACTGGTTTGTTCTGCCGAAATGCCCCAAATCGTGGCTGAGTGCAGCCACGAGCAAAGCGTACTGCTCCAGCTCGCTCGTCCATTTTCCAGCTTGGGTTATTTGCTGCAGGCGGAAAACCGTGAAGCACACATCCACCGCATGCCGGTAGCAATGATACGGCACATCCTGTGGACACACGAGCGACAAAAGGAAGGACAGGAAAGCACCATAAAGCACCACTCCGTTTCTAACATACACAAAAACGAGGGGGGTGTAGGGCAAAATGTGGGGAGGGCCATTGTCAAACAAGCATCCTTGTAATTGGCTTGCACCGTCTGTGCAAACATGAGGAAACTATCCTCCTGTGTGTATTGTGCAGCAAGGCCGAACTGCGACAAGAAGAAGATGTAGTGCACGTATCCATCAATCTCTTCGAGCGTCGACTCCAGGACGTCAAGGTTCCAGTTCTGTGTCCAAGTTGCGTGGACATCGACCTTCGTCGTCCGCTTGCCACCTAGCCGGTTCTGAGCGCTGGACTGGAGAACTTGCACGTTCAACATGTCGATCAGCACGGCCTTGTTTTCGGCATTCATTGCATCGAGCTCTGCCGGTGTATATGCCTTCATGGAACTCTCGGCTAGGCTGGCCAACCGTGCCAGCTTCTCGAGAATTGCTTGGATCAGCTCTATTTCAGACCCTCCTCCCGGCTGGTCTTGCACTTCCTCGTCCAACTCTGCATCTTGCGTGCCTTCCGTCTGCTTGGCGAAGCGATCAAAGATGTGGGCAGCATTTTCTCGGACATGATGCAGCATGCCCTCCAGAGGCTTGACTAGCTTCCTGTCCACGACGTTCTGCAGGTCGAAACTTGTGACTGCCATCAAAAGGACTATAAAAAAAATCGTGCAAACCTCCACCAATGCATCCATCTGGTGGGGGCCTGTGAAATCAAAGACGACAGCCACATTGCAACCCTCTGGGCGTTGAACTTTGCAGCTCTCTAGGTTGACGGTCAAGGAATTCCTTGCCCTCGAGGGCCTGTCAGCAAGGACTTGTTCATCCCCAAAACCTTGGACGAGGAAGGGGCTGTAGTTGACAGGCGCATAAAACTGGACCATTTGGTCAATGGCTTCCTGCAGAGCACCATTTAGTCCATCACGCTGCTGGCGGAGGTAGCTCTCCTCCAATTGCTGTGGCCAAAGAGTTATGGACATATCTTCCGTAGGGTACAGCGGGTACGCAGAAAGAGGCACAACCTTGGCCGGCCAGAATCTCAGCACACAAACACACATGGGAGCGCAACTGCCAGGTGAACCGGATAGACACTATGGTCACTATGTGCCAGACCATGACCATCACGATGACAATGACAGAGACCCGCGTCGACAACAGGACGACCAGTTTGCTGGCCAGCACTTTGGCTTCTACCCGATTTGTCTTCGCAGCTGATCTGTAGAACATGCCTGAGCGGACTCGCCAGCAGTTGCGAAATGGAAGCCTAATGGGCCTAATGACAATACTCCAAGGCCCAGGTGCTCACACATTTCACAAGTTTGATGAGCCGTCCAATCCTTGCACCCAGTTTCGCAGTTCTGGCCGTTCTGAGCACGACCTTAGACACAAAGTCACTAAGTGCAGGCCAGCTCCAACGATTTCCAACACCCAGTGGTGCCTCGCGGTGTCTGTGCATTTTGGGGCCGTGGCTGTGTTTGAGTTCAGGTATTGGCCAAGTAGGAAGGAGATCTCAAAGGCCATCGAAAGGGTACCCAAGAGGTCCATCCTGGCACGTCATCTGCCCTGTGAGGAAGTGGACTCCAACCAACAATCCGGATCAAAACCTTCCGGAGATGAGATAAAGCGTGCCTCCGGCAGACGTACTTTGCCGCTGGGTGAGTTTAGACACCACTGGAAGTTGCAGCTGTTCAAACGGCCCGAGTCTCTGATAATTGGCGGTTGAGGGTTTGCTTCACTTGGCTTCCCTCGCGTTAGGCAGGGCGGGTGGCGTGGGGTCCTCTCCCCATGTGTCTTAGCATTTGAAGGAGAGTCTGATCTATCTGCACAACCGGGGCCTTTCCGGGCGTCCGAATGCAACGAATCCTCTGCCGATCCTCTCCCGTCCGTGCACAGGAAGCACACGAAAGTACTACAAGAGTACAAGTCTGCTTTGCGAGGGCACGTTGCAAATGGAGTCGATTCTGAACTAATTTCACACCCCAATCCCGATTTTGTCACGCCATGAAGACATGTTCAGATTATCAAGAACTGGTACTCCATTGCACACACTCAAGCGTTGGTTGCGCTTTGGCCCAGTCGAACCAAAACATGTGCCATGCTCTTGTCTCGCGAATAACCAGGTGAGAAGCGATTGGCAAGGGGGGTGGGGGCGCACAGTCAGCGTCGGGCAGTTTCGTACTTGCCTCAAGTGGCCGTGGGCCAAGGAAACGCGTAGAGTGCAACTGCTGCATGGTCTCCAAGGGGGTGTCTATGAACGTGCTCACGCCCGGCGGGGCAGTAGCGTTTTTCACGTGTCCGTTGGAAAAGCCATTTCGTGACAAATCTGGCAAGGGGAGCGGTGGAGCGTATTGGATTCTGAAACTGTATTGAACACACAAAGAGGTGTCATTCGCAAACAAAGCGATGGATTGTGACTCAGCAGGAAGTTCAGGACCGCCCTCTCAGAGGCTCATCCTGTTGAAGTCGACACGACCACGGACAGAGGAATGCGATGAAACTAGACGGTTCACAAGTCACAAGCAAGCACACTTTCACATCCCTGACTACCGAGAAGATGTCGTTTGCTATCGGCATTTTTATTAATCGATTACATCACACTTGCATGCCCCAACCGGCAATCGCGGCAGCTGCACCAGAAAAAGAAGCTGAATCTGTACATCTCGTCCTTCGCAAGAGGGATGCGAGATGTGATTTTCTGAGCAGGTGAATAGTCCATGTCGAGAGGGAGAAAAGGGAGCGAGAGAGAGAGAGAGGATGCAGCAAGACCAGCTGTCCGTCAGGAGCAAGCCCACCATCTCCATGGCAAATGCAAAAGCAATAAAGCACATGACCACGTCCAGGATCAGCACCTTGCGTGTTTGTGGCTTCTGCCTGGACCTGCTTGAACCGGAGCCCTGAAAATCACGTGTGCTTCTGCGGCACGGTCGGATCATCCGGCGCATTGAGCAGCGTCACAATGCCAGGTCCAAACAGGGCAATTGTGAGACATATGTACAACCTGAGCCATTCAATATCATTCATTCATGCGACGCCACATCAGCGCGCTGGCTGCAGCCGGAGTGCGTCCATCTGACAACAAGCATCTTCATGATGCGTCGTCCACTTGCTCGCGATGCCTGCCAGTGGCGCTGCCATTGACTTCCGGTTGTCCTTACTTATTCTATCTTTTTCTGCTCACTTAGCGAGCCCCAAAGCGCAGGCCTTTGACTTGAGCTGATCACTGGAGGTGCGTCCTGCGCAGGCGAATGCGAAGCTTGCAGAGCTTATCCAGCTTAACCTGTACTCCGCAGGTTTCGTGTATGCATGCTTATCTGCGGCCTGGATTGTCGGATTCCGGGACCTGCTTGCTTACAGGTATTGCCACATCTTCGCCCTGCGTGCTCAGAGACACCGACACTGCAAACACGGGATCTGCACTAACACTTGTCAACATAAGAGTGGGCCTGTGCTTCAGACCTTGGCCATCTCGAATGCAAAAACAAAGCCACTGCTTGCGCATACTAGTAGCAACGGCAGCATTCAACCAGAACAAGTCACGCAAAGTGGGAAATAAACATTCTTGGTTGCCCAGCAGCTCCTGCTGAGCCACTGCCTCTGCCCTGGCCACCTTAGTCAGCAACTGTGGCCTGCACATCCCTGCCAAACAGCGACATTGTTACATCAAACAGAAGTGAACAGTCACACAACGCAGGCCTCTTCTTCTGGTTGCAGCAACGCTGCCCTTGGTCCGATGTGAAATCTCAAAGGATGTGAGGCCCCAGTACCCTTCCATTGACACGGCCGCACGTTGCAATACCCCAAACACATGCAAGGCATCTGGCCCTTCTCGCAAGGCAGTGAGCGTTTCCAGCATGATGCGGCTCCAGTCTGAGTGGGCACTCATCTCCTGATTTGAGATACTGTTCATGCGGAAGCACCCAAACTAGCTGTGCATCGACAAGCCCGGTACAGCAATTGCCAAGCTAATCTTCTGTCCTCTTCGAGACAATTTCTTTCGGCTGCGATCTTTCGCATGCAAGCCTTCACTTCAGACTTCGGCACCTCGACCATGTCAATTGCTCTGTGCTTTGCAACATGAAGCCGTGCCACTGCTTGGCAGATGCCTCAAGTCCGAACTCAACTTCTTGCAGGAGCTTGTGGCTTTGCACAAGATGCTCCTGTAACGCCAGCACGAGCATATGCCAGCTCGAGTTGCTCAAGTCCAGTCCGTCCTCGTGGACCCTCTGCAGCTTTTTGAACACATTCACCAGGTTTTCCTGCCTCAGCCGAAATGTGTAAACCGCTGTGTTGCCTGTGTGCATCATGTTCCATCTAAGCAGCGGGGACAGGGAAACGACATCGTCGTCCAAATGAGCGACCGCATTGCGCTGCGGTGGTGGCCCATCTAAGCTCATGGAGCATTGCGCGGCAGCATGACAGACACACACGTTGAGGTGCTAACTTGGGATGATGTTGGAGCTCTCCGTCTTGAGCGCATCCTTGGCTAATCTGTCATGTTGGCCCACAAGAAACTGCATTGATACATCTGCAAGCCTGCAAACACAAAGTCGCCTGCAGGGCTGAGGACGAAAATGCTTGTGGGGGACGGCAGGAACGAAAGCTAGTGCAGTTGCTTCGAGAAGCCACAGGAAGGAGAACAGCATTGACCCAACAGGCAAGTGCCAGTGCACGGCCGGTCTACTCCTCCTCGCCCATCACCCGTATCCCAACGTATCCCAACCCACATCGTCGGAGAATCCCTGGCCAAAGCATCCCCGGAGAACCCCTGGAGCGCCCAGCAGTCGGAGTGCAACGCGCAGTCCCTGGACCCAGAGTAGCCCCACAGAATCCTGGAGTGCTCAGCCCCGAGTGTTTCAGAGAACTCCCAGCCCAGCCTTAAGGGCATCCCACAAAACCCTGCAGTTGGCCTCAAAGAATCCCTGGAGTGCCAAACCCCAGATCCTCAAGAAAATCCCTAGGTTGCCCCAGAGAAGTCCCCGGAGTGCAACCCAGAATATCCCCAAAGAATCCCTGGAGCACCCAACCTTGGAGTATCTGCAGAGAATCCCTAGTGTGCCCAATCGCAGAGTATCCCCAGAGAATCCCCTGAGCATTAAACTCACCCACACACGGTTTCGACGCTGCTGTGGGGAATGCATTAGCATTTAGCTCGCCCATACATGGTTTCGATGCTGCGCTTGGAGATGTAGTAACATGCTTTCGACGCTGCTCTTGGAGAGGTATCATAAAGCAGTTTTTTGATCCTGAGCCAGAGTGGCACGTAGCCTAAACGCCCCGAAGCTTCATGAAGGCAGACAAGGCACCTCGAGGACCTCAAAAACGTAGGGTTTGGCCACCGAATCCCGGTGGGGGGGCGGCCCCAATTTGCACACAAGCTGGACCCATGTTGTTCAACCCTATGGTTGGCAAGAGACTCGGCTAGCTCCCACGGGCTAGGCCTCCGAGTCTCGGCCTCGACCCTCACTGCAGTCCTTTTGAGTTATTTTGAGTTCTTGTTTTCGTTTTGCTCAAAGGGCTACAGCCACAGACTCCTGCTTCTGGAATCGGGCTTCCTCCAACACACAGAGAATTCCACAATACCATACCATACCCCAGCTCTCTTGCATTCTGCCGTGCTTGCCCCCATATTCTGAAAAAGCATCTCCCAGATTCCCCAGCATTCGGCGGAGTTTGTTCATCACACACCCCCAGACTCCAAAAGATCTTCCCCGGCTGTCCTGGAGGATGGCGAGTTAGCAGCAGCAACTCAAGAGTAATCCCAGAGTTAAACAAGTCAAACTGATTTGAGTCGAGACCTGCAGTCTCGTCTCGTGACCCTATGCCTGGACTCCTCAGAAGCTAACAGAGTCTGGAACACGGCCTGGCACGCCGATGGACTTCTACACTCTGCAAAGGAGTCTAAGGGAGTCTAAGGCATGTCTCCACGGCTGCGCCAGGAGCCAAGCGCTCTCCTGGCCCAACGCATCGCTCGCAGGATGCTATCGCACCCATTAACCCATTTCACGCTACAGTCTCACCGTTGCTTGAATCTACAACGACCTCATAACAGCGGCCAATGTCGGCAATCGCCAGTTTTGCGAAAACCGATGACACAGTTATTCCCCGTGCGAAAGTTCTTATAATACGGTGAATTGAGGCGGTCTGGCCTTACCGCAACTGGTTCTTGCCCAGATTCGAGCCGAAACCACCCAGTTGTGTCACACAAACAAACAAACGAAGAAACAAACAACCAAAACAAACACACACACACACACACACACACACACACACACACACACACACACACACACACACACACACACACACACACACACACACACACACACAACACACACACACCACACACACACACACCACACCACACACCACACACCACACACCACACACCACACACCACACACCACACACCACACACCACACACCACACACCACACACCACACACCACACACCACACATCACATACCACGCATCACACACCACACACCGCACACCGCACACCACACACCGCACACTGCACACACCACACACACCACACACACACACACACACACACACACACACACACACACACACACACACACACACACACACACACACACACACACACACACACACACACACACACACACACACACACACACACACACACACACACACACACACACACACAACAACACACACACACACACACACACACACACACACACACACACACACACACACACACACACACACACACACACACACACACACACACACACACACACACACACACACACCTGCACATGCCAGGGCCAACGGAGAATGCCGATGCCAATTGAGCGAGGCGACATGAGCATGTTTGGATGCGCGTGGGCGCGGCATGATCCGCCCTCCCTCAAGAAGCAGCCTAAGAATCTAGGAAAAGCATGTATAGGCCAGGTACAGGCCAAGGCTGGGCCGGAAGAACGGCCACAGCCAGTGCCATGGCAGTACCCAGCAAGTATTTGCAAACGCTGCGTGCCAGGACAGAGAGAGTCCTTTGGACTGGAACTCCTTTAGAGGTCCGCTCTCAGCTGGCATGACTAATGCAAGGATGCATAAGGAGCCAGCGCAGACCGACAAGACTTCGCCATACTTGGCCTCTAATCGGTCAGATCACTGATGGAAAAGAATGAAAATTCCACTTCTTCCTTCCCAGACATGTCTGAGCATTGGGGATCTGCATCTTGCGCTTTCTCGCACAATCCCGTCCCTATTTCGCCAGGGCCGTGCCCATCCAGCCAATTCATATTCGTGGCCTTCCAATAGCTGACGATGGGAGTCATGCCTGCCTGTAGAGTCTTTCCCAAAGCATCAAGCATATCTTCGCCTGCAGGCTAACACAAGATGCAAGCCTCGTGCTTGCATGGCACGACCCACGCTCTCTCTCTCTCTCTCTCTCTGCACGCATGGCCCGCCCCCAAGAGGGGAGCCGCCCCGAGGGGCGCGCTAAGTCCGAGGTCTGATGGAATGAAACATGACACCGGTTGGAGGCTACGACTCCAACACCACACCACCAGGATCACCTGAGTACCTCAGTACAATACCGGCGGTGTAGCCTCCTCGGGTGCCACCTCGTGGGCTGTCAGAAAAAAAGAAAAACATTGGGCCGACTGTGGGCTGGGTGGGAGGTAAAACATGCAGAAACTGAATGGACCGATGGATGTGGGGTCCCGCCCTGAATTGTGTCCTCCGCCCATGTTTTTGGTGACGCGGGTCTGGCGCCAGCAAAATTGTCGGGTTGCTCTCTCTCTTCTTTTTTTTTTTTTTTTTCTCTCTCTCCCTCTCTCTCTCTATCTTCAACTTGCTTGCTTGCAGCGCATGTGGCTCCCCCCAGAAGAGGGGCCGCCCTAAACGGGCATGCTCTGGAAAACTCTCTCTCTCTCTCTCTCTCGCTCTCGATCTGGCTCTCTCTCTCTCTCCCTCTTTTCTCCTCTTCTTCGCATCCTCTCGACATATCCTTCTCTCAAAAACTTAACTGCATGTGTAGGTATCATTCCTGCCTGTGCTCGGATCTTTGTACTCTGAGATGTCCAGCAACAACTCGCAACTTCTCCTTAGCTCATTTGACGTGCTGCGAGGAAGCGGAGCTTGAAGCCGCTTCAAACTTGTTTGCATCCGGCAGCGACTCAACGAGGGCGCGGAAGCAAGAAACAAAGCAGCAGCCACTTTGAGAAAACCACACAGGCGCGTGAACATTATAATGCCATGATCAGGATCCCGGGTGTCCTGGGAGCGGAATTTTCATGAACTTCCTGGACCAAGTATCAAACCACGATTTCGCCTCAGTCCTACACACATACTGTGATCGAAATGTGATCACTCATCTCACTCCCAGCAAACACACATTTTTTCTGCCTGAATGTCTCGATGCCGGAAAAGGATGGCAGGGACGTTCTTTCCTGCCTCGTGGGTAGTTTTCCCGAGCGTAGCGAAGGGTTCTCGACCCGGTTCTGTGCGCTTAGCGTTCACGCGCGTTCATTCATGACCAAAGTCGGGATTGTCCTCACTTTGGAGGGCGTTTTTTTCTTTTAAGCGAAGGCCAAAAGTTCCAACACTCATGAGGATTGGTGTCGACATCCTTGTGACTGGATTCACTTTTGAAGCGTCTTTTGAGCTTGAAGTTTGGATATGCTACAGCTTACATAGGTGTGTCCGTGGCATCATCAACAGCTTTCGGCTGTTGGCATGAGATGTTGTGCAAGTCTTTGAGCAAGTTGTCGGCACAAACGTTCCAGATGCCTCTCTCGCACAGTGAGACGTCTTACCCTCGGCTGCATGCCACAGGCTTTGGTGCGCAACCAAACAACAACTTCAACCACACAGTACTGTACATCTGCCAAAGAATCTGTAGCACAAGGGTTCGCGTTTGCAGAGTTAGGATCTGGGCAACAAGTGTTCAGAGAGAGAGCGAGAGAGAGAGAGAGAGAGAGAGAGAGAGAGAGAGAGAGAGGGGGAGAGAGAGAGAGAGCGAGAGAAAAAAGAGAGAGAGAGAGAGACAGAGAGAGAAAAAAACATTTGGGCTGCCCCGCATGAAGAACATTGAAGAACAGTGGGTGTATATCGGCCGGCGTTTAAACCTCTTTGCACATGCATGTCGGTACGCCTGTGTGTGTGTGTGTGTGCGCTGATGCATGTGTGTACGTGTATGTGCGTGTGACATGGTTGCATTGGATGCCCGCAAGACAAGCTGATCCACTTTTGCATCCGGACTGGTCCTGCATGCTTGCCGTGACTGGCCAGGGCCTGTTGCGACAGCAGTCACCGCATCACCTTCTGCCCGTCCGACCGCCGTCCGGCCACGTCTACCGTCCGGTCACACACACGCGCGCGCACACGCACACACAGAGTCTGTTACAAGCTTCTGAACTCGGTCGAGACGTGTTGACTGTTCTCTCACCTTTCTCTCCTCTCTCTGCTTCTTCTTCTTCTTCTTCTTCTTCTTCTTCTCCTTCTTCCTTTTCTTCTTCGTCTTCAGAGAAGCTCAGGGTTTTCGGATGCTCGCCAGAAAGGATGGCTTGCCCGCCGGAGCGGGATCGATGCTGGCGGGCAGTGGACGATGTCATCTTTCGTTGTTATGAGACGTCTTTCGATGTTCGGCGGTGCCCTCCCGCCCGAAAGCCACAAAGCAGAGAATGAAGGCAACATAAATACAGGTGCAAGCCATAATAAGCCTCAGATGCCCTGTTTGCTGTTCATCCGTTGTTGATGTTGATCCTTATTCCGCATACCTGTCTGGTCTGCAACTCACTGAGTTACGATGAGCCGAGCATCTGCGCCGAGAGCTGCAACAAAACTACCTCCAAACCGCGTAGCTTTCCGTTTTCGTCGACCGGAAACCTGGCGGCGACCTGTCAAGGAGCTGTGCAAGAAGCTCTGCGGTCACTGTAGGTGGCATGACGATGACAATGACAATGAGCCGCCTGAAAGCGACTGTTGGTGTCGATGCACCGTGCCCCTGGTCCATACCTGAGTGTCGGCAAATGGCTAGCGCCTAGCGAATGGCTAGCATCTTGACGGAAACAGTCGGAGCTGTGCAGACGGGACACTGCTCCTGCGACCAATCACGGGGCCCCGTCCATTGGGAACCTCAGCGCGCCCAGACTGAGAAAAAACATTCTGAAAAGCACGGCGCTCCGACCTCCTCCACCGAAGCCGGCCGTGGGGAGCTTCGCGTTCGAGATTCCGGAGTGGAGCGTGGAGCGGAAGGCGTGTTTGTTGGCTTCCATGATGTCAATCTCTGGACATTGGACGCCACAAACACTCATAGCATCACAATAGTAATCCTTGCACTCTGTCTCGGTTTCCACATATGCGAGCGATGTCAGGTACAGGGCCGCATTGCAACCTTCGCTCGCATGAATGTTGAACATACTTGGCGGTTAGGGCGTGCTGACTGGTTCGTGATACTGCTGGACACAGGAACCGCAACCAGCGCTGGAAAGGTCTACTGTGAACAGCAGCTGCTTTCCCAAGAGGTTCTGTGCCTGCAGTTGCGTGCGCCACTCTGGACTCATCCTCTATGTAAGGAAGTCTGAAAGTCTGAGCAAGACAACAGACATCAGCAGAAGCGGCAAGCAAGAAGAAAACCGTCATGCTGGTCCCTTTTTTTGTGCACTGCAGCCGTGGCTCCAAATACTCCTTGGGATTGTACTCATCCGCTGCACCTGAGTTGTTTTGCCATGCTTCCACGTCTCTCTGAGTAAGGTTTTGCATGGCCTCACTTGGTACTTATGGACGAGCTTAAAGGCTTGGCTGGCAGACAGTGTTTGAGTGCGGAACATGAAGTTCCGAAGTAGGAACGGCTGGACAACGGCAGGGAAATGGATCTGCTGAGCGCTCTCGCTGGCGGAGCTTCTTCGCCTGGAGATGCGACTTCCTTTCCGTGCTCAACTTCCTTCCAAAACGAAGCCCCCGTCCTGGAACGTTCCATACAGCATTGATGATTTGGACGCCGCCGCTCAGTCCTTCCACCTAGAGTAAACATACGTGTGGCGAAATGATGCGAAATGCATGGGAAGCTTCACTGACACCCTACGGCACCCTCAGCCTCACGCTGAAATGCCTCCTGGACATTTCCCAGCCTTGATTCTGCATGCCGTATGCTCACTTTTTACCGTCTCCTCTTTGCGCAGTGTGAACCGAGTCTTGCTGAGCAAATGCAGCAGGTATCAGCCCCTGGGATGCCGCCGGGAAGCGAGGCTTCGGGTCGACTCCTCATCCGCATCGTCCGAGGATGGTTCGTCCGAGGAATCCAAGGAGTCCAAGTTGGCGACGTCTCGGGTGACCACCGAGACCGCCGATCCTCTCACGGACTCCGCGCCGGTGGCGTACCTGCCGCAACAGCCAGTCTCACACAAAAAGAAGTCACGTTGCACCTGAGTGGCATATAGGGAGTTTGCAGAAGCTATGCAGCCTCTTCAAAAAAATGCATCAGACCAGAACTATGTCAAGTAACCCGCGCCTGCAAAGCACTAAAGTTGCCACCCCGATCAGAACTCGAAGCGACCACTTCTGCGCCTGCAGCAACAGGGTGCAAAAGGCCTGGTCAGATCTGCTTTGATTTTGTTGCTGTTGACGTTCCTGCTGCCTTTTGGCAAGTGGAAGATGATGGCGCAGAGTCCGGCGGATCTGGCAAAAGCTCTGTTGACTCCTTGTTGGCACAGATGGCGCTTTTGGTCGTTAGAGCATGCAGCATGCAATAGCAAAACGTGCTGACCGATTGCACATCTGCACACGCAGACAGCCTCTAGCCGTTCCAGTGGCAAAGCCATGTCGCTAGGAGTCATAACTTGCTGTTTCAAGCCAAGATCATATTGCGACAGGCACGAGTCCTCATGACACTGATGGTGCACGTTTAGGCGTTTGCTGGCATGTCACAATTGCTGCCTACATTTCTACATTTGCATTCCAGGGCAGAAACAATGCATGGACATAGTTCCGAATAGGCTCACGCCTTTGGCGTGCAGCTCGGCGTGCGATGCTTGTGAAATTTGCTCTGGCGACTTGAAAACTGATGTGAGGTTAGGATGGGTTAGGGTTCCCCTCAACCCAGTCCAAGAACATCTGCCTCCTCAGATGCTTCGTGCCTAGGGCTCCAAGATGGGATCCTGATTTCGGAAGCCTTCCTGGTCAGGTAGCAGGTAATAATCATGTTTAGTTAAATTCCTGAACTTCCTGTACAGAAATGATGCCCCGCGATGGTGCCTCGCCAGCCTTATCAGGCGACTCAGCTGAGGGCCCCTCTTTGGGTGAAGGAAATGCCCAACGCTGCGGATCTTCCTGCTCGTCCTGGGCCTCTGAAGGATCGATGATGCGAACGCTTCTGTGGCTCCTTGATCTCGGACTCTTCTGGACTGCTGACGGGCTTGAGTTATCGTGGATGGGCCGAGACGAGTTTTTAGAGCCGTGCCTACCACTGCTAGAACTGCGGGCCGCTACGGTCAAGAAGTTGGTGCTCGCCCTCTGCGAGGGCTGCGAAGTCTCCGCCTGAGAGCTCAGTGAGCTCAGAGCCGGCCCAGGCCATGCTGGCCGAGCCTTTGAGCTCACTCTCTGGGACGTTTTGGATCCTTGCCTACTACCGTCACCGGCGTCTCCATAGGTGTCACCATTGAGACTGATAGGTAAGACATCGTCGCAGTTAGCTCGGACGGATCGAACGGATCGAACAGATCCTTTGGAGCCATGTCTCACAGAAATGTTCACTTGGTCAGGCCGGACAGAGCTCTTGGACCCGTTCCTGCGAGTTGACGCACCTGACGGTCCACTGGTACCCGTTGTACTCGCACTCGCCGCGTTCGCAACTTCTCGTGCAGAATCTTTTCCCGCAGCTCGACAGCAGCAGCATATAATGCAGCAGCAGGGCACGACGACTACGAGCGAGGAGAGGAACGCATCGACGATCCAAATGGAAACCCAGTGCATAATAGATGTCACGTTCCATTCCACGTCACAAGCCTCTGCACTTGTGGCACCCTTCTGTTTGGTGCTGCGCCCCTCAGGGCATGGAGTGCATTTCGGGCATTCCTTTGTGCCATCAGAAATCTCGCAAGCTAGCTCTTGGCGGCGGTACCGTCCAAGAGGACAGGCATGACACGTCTCAATGTTGAACATTAGCCAGTATTCTTCGACGTATTCGCCGCCATCAAGATTGCACTCCAGGCAAAATGATGCCGGCAGCAGTAGACTCAACACCAGCCACGCACAGAAGCGTCCATGCAGCATATCTAACATGGCGCAGGATCCATGTCTAAGCAGCAGGTCTTGTCTGAGGTTGAGCAAAAGATATCCGGACAACCCAACAACCATGCGATCCGCATTTGCGCTTGCCTTTCCAAGCACACGCTTGCCGACGGTTTTATTGTATGACCCTTTTGCTCAAAGGTACCTTGAATGCAGCGTTCCTGGTAGCCATGTGGCAAGCCTGATACACTGCCTGAACCCCCACCCGTTCTATTTTCCATGCTTGATTGGATGTGCGTGAACGGGGATTCTGCTATAGGACTTGCTTTGGTACAGGTGCGCCTAGGAGAAGCACAACTCGGCATCAGAACAGCTTGAAGTCCAAAGCGCTTCGTGTATGCCCAATCATGGAGCACCTGCCGGGCGAAACTCGATGCACCCAAACTACCTACCTCCGGCTTGGCCGGTCTGCTGATGTGAGACAACTGTGTACAACTGCGAAGTGTCAATTCTTGACCCTGCGCAGACTGCGGCTATGAGGCGGTCACTGCAATCTTGGCTGGCTGTTCATCAGGCTAGCACTTTATTGCACATTTCCCATCGCTTGCACCCACGGCCATGACCTGGAGCCCATTCTCATGTTGTACAAGGCACTGGCCGGGCAAGCATACTGGCAAGTTTGAGGTTGGCGTGACCGGTGGCAGCACTCCCCTGCTCAGCCTTTCTTCGAGGACCTCCACTTCGGCCACTTGTTGCTCCAAAGGGACATAGGGAATCGCAGAGCCGTACTGCCGCCGATGAATTTCAGCCAAAAGCCCATCAAACTCAACACAGCTTGAATCAAAGCCAGACACACGGGGCTGTCCCGTTGCATTTGTCCAGATGGGGGAGCGGAAATGAGTACCGAGACGCAAAATCGGACAGTATGTCTCTGCGGCAAAGATTCGGGAACAAAGCCGGGCCCCTGCTGCCCCGTCCCAGCGTAATTCAGCCGCGAGATTTGCTGGGCTCAAGTGGAAGCTGCCGGGGACGAGACGACCATAGACAGCGCTGTCCTTCCAATTCCACATCACGTCCCCAAGCCGGCCAGGCACTTCAGTGCCCGCCTGCAAAGGTGGTGGGAGGTCTGTTTCGTATGTGTCCGGCACAACCTGGCTCACGGCGAAATCGAAGCGCATACCAGCCACTTCCACTTGGGCAGTACTGTTGAAGGCATCGATGTCCTCAGGCGTCCCAAAGCTAAGCGGCAAACATAGCTCCACAGAGTTCTCGATCGTCTGTGAACTCTGCACCTGCACGCAATCCCCGATGATCTGCCCAAAAACCTCGCCCTGAGCATTTGCAATCACGTTCCGGCACTCAAAGTTGGCGAGGTTAAAGGAAGAGTCGCCACCGTTTGATCCATCTTGCGTGTTGTTCTCGAGGTACTCCCCCGTGAGGACCTCAAAAGCTGGAAACAAAGGCGCTCTCTCTCAACAGCCCTCTGTGATCTAAGATTCTGAATCACTCTGAGGAGGGGACGTAGAGGGAGGCAGGCGGCAGCCCTGATGCAGCGTCGGCGGCTCGCGCTGCCTCTTCCTGTGCACGAAGGCGCTCCTGCCGCCGCGTCTCCTCTGTGGCCGCCAGCTTCTCTGCCAGTTCGGCTGCTGCCTCGGCCTCGGCCTCGACGTCGATGTCCAGCCGGATCATCTCGTTGATAATCCATGCAGGGTAGCCACCGCGGATTCCTCCGGCATCGATTGTTTCCATGCTCGCCGGCGAAAGTGTTGTGGTGGTGTCCTGGACGATCAAATACTCCAGCAAGTAGTTTCGAACCAAGCCAGACCTACCAGGCAATGCAATTTGCGGTGCTGCCACTCCGAGCAAATATTCAAATGGAACTAAGCTCAGGTCGTAGGTCACTGCAGGGCCACTCGCCTCACCAAATCGAGAGGCACTGTATTCGTGCCACGACAACTGCACATCCCCAACAGATCCAGAGCTGATGAGACCTGATGTAGACAAAATCTGCCCGAGCTCAAAAGCACCCGAAGGCAGCTGCAGTTGTGGTGCTGCCGCAAGCTTGCCCTCCATGAGCTCTGCCCTCTTGACTGAGGAGTCCACGACGTCAGACTGATCCCCACAAGCAGCGGCGAAGAGTTGCAGTGATTTCATCAGAGGCTCTACCATGCCAACGGCTGCATTTAGCCTTTGCCTCCCCAGCCTTTCCTCCAGCGCATTCTCAAAGAGTCGGCGTAGCAAGTCGATGTCTACAACTTCAACCCAGCGATTGATGCTGCCCCAGCGACGGCTGTACCAACCTCTTTGTGGCAGCACCAAATCACCTCGTTTCCAAACGCCAGCCGTCCATCGGAAGATCTCCACCCACCGTCCCCCACATTGAGAGCACTCAGCCTCCTTGCTTTGGGAGAGTAGTGGGTCCGCTTCTGCATTGACTGCATTGTTGGTGAAGAGTTCACATCGGTCACCCCTCTGCAGCAGGCAGCAAGCTTTCCAACGGGCACAGCTGGTTGGACTCACAGACCGCTGAATCCACACAGCCTGAAAGGGAGGTGCCAATGGATTCAGCGCCTCGCACTCTGATTGGTTCAGCTTGCCAGCATCGCGCAGCCGAGCGCGCAGCAGATCCGTGTTGGTAGTCTCCGATGCGAGCCGCGCCTCTTGCAACGAGGCGGCCCAGGCAGCAGCATCTTCAAGCTCTGTCCCAGAGCCTCCGTCACTTCCCTCAGAGCGATTCGACAGGTCCATCAGACCGTGTCGACGCCGGACCTCCATGCCAAAGGCGGGATCCAAGCGAAAGAAACACAATCCATCTGGAAAGATGCCAGCACCTCCAATAGAACACCCCTGCTGCAGCAGAGTATCATCCAGTGGAGTAATCACACATGTACCGGGACTGGCTAAATTCAGGCCAATGTCCGCGTCACTGCAATGGCCTGACATCTGGCACCGGTCCGCCGTCTGGCACGGACGGACACTCTGAAAGCAGCCCATCAGGCTGGCCAAGGCATCTTCTTCGCAGTTGGCTTCGTCGTAGTTCTCACATCGCTTTATGGAAAACCCAGGGCCCATGCAATACATCATCGGGCGGTGGCGGAGAGCACAGAGCCGCTGAAAGCGCTTCACACCCATCCTTTCGTCAAAGAGATCTCCTTGAATGAGGACACCGCCTAAGTTGGTGCAGCTCGCAATGTCAGTTGACACGCAAAGGCCGTTGTCTTGAGTAGCAAGGGCAGGGGACGCGCAGAACGTGCAAGATGCTGTGCAGCCATATGTTAATCGGCAAGTTAACTCATCCAAAATCATCTCATCCACATCGCAGCGGGCCACGCGACAGCCTGTCTGGTCATGAAGGATGGCAGGACGCCACTCAGTCGGCTGGCTGAACTTGGTCAGATCATCTTCAGGGCCTTTGCACTCCAAAGTGGCCAGAGTCGCTGTCCAGTTCTGGACTCGCTTGTCAAACTCTCCCTTCAGGATTAATTGCACACTATGCTTGGCCAGCAACCCGCGCAGCACTGTGCTGAAATCCGTGGCTGTGTTGAAGGTCTGTGGCCACAGGACTTTGTAAATTGCATTCTCTGCATCGCCATCTTCGAAGAGAGCGCTCCAGAAGCTTTGTGGCCACCCGAGTGCCTGGAGCGTAGGCCTCTCGAAGACATCGGTTTCCGTGACCCTGGTGGGCAAAAGGGGTGGAGGGAAGACCTCGCGATTGGCACCGCCGAACATTTCGCGAGGATCCGGCATCCTGTAGTAGCACATACCAAGGCCACGATTTCCAAAAAAGTCCACACGAATGGAGGCCCCCTCAAGAGTCAGTTGCCTCGTCAGCAACGTGGGATCCATTTCTTGGTTGCGATCTAAGATCGCAAGCCGCCTAGATGTGTTGGAATACTCAGCCAGGTGCTGCCAGGCTCTTGACGTCTTCTTCCTTCTTCCCGAGACGGCAGATGGCACGTCCCCAGAAACTGTCTTGTTTGTGCTGTTCTGCCTTTGCAGACGGCGCCCAGCTCCAATGGGAGCCAAAGACATCTCGAAGTCTTCGAGGTATGGAAGCGTGCCAGTGTCGTATGCTCGCTGAAGGCAAAGCCCAAATATGCGTTCATCATCAGCCATATTTGATGCTGTAGCTGGATCATACATTGTCGCCTGCAACTTGCGACCACAGATGTTGCTTTTCAGTTGGCACAAGTGAATGCTCCGCTGGAACCACGGAGGTGCTTGCCACTGCGCTCGCCCGGGCCATACAGCCCTGCAAGTAGCTTCGTCATTGACTAGATTGTTTATGACCTCCGGTACCGCTAGCGCCTGTCCACCACCGCAAATGCAACAGGCCGTATGAGCATCTACACCACTTGTCCCCAACTTGAAGGGTCCCCAGGATAAATCCCAACCGGGGCCGTAACCCGTACGGTTGCACCACTGGAAGGTTTCGTAAGTTGTGCAGGGATGCCCGTCAGAATCAACCCAGTCAAATGGACTGTCGCTGCAGTCCACTCCACCACCGCAGTCGCAACAGACATCGGTGGCAGCCAGGCCACTGGAAGAGAAGTCTGCGAACGTACGCGGAGGATTGTATACCCAGTTGGTGCCATAAAGACCTTGCTGGGTGCAAAGGCTATCTACCACATACGTTGGGCAATTTCGGCCCACGCTGTCCACCCATCCGTGCACCATGTCAGAGCAGCCTGACACCTCAGTGGTCGTGCAATCAAAGCCACCTTCACTCTTCGCTTTCGCATTGCAGTAGTCATTGCAACATGCCACGCAGTACTCGCAAACGTCGCGGATGCGGGCAGAACTGCCCTGGGTGCAGTTTGGAGCCACAATCCCTGAGAAGCGCTTGACTGTGTCACTTATCGGGGCATCTAAGACTCCAGGGACCACTTCGGCAGGAAGCCGTCCATAGGATGGGAGCACATCATATGCCTGACAATTCTCGCTGCAATCACAACTGCAAAAATCGCAGGTCTTGGGCCGGCAAGTCTGCCAAAAAATGAAGCGATCCTTGCCCACAATCCTTTGCAGATTGCAACCGCTGCCGAGGTAAGATTCATCCACTTCGCACCAGCGGCTGTTCGAGGACACATCAAAATAGCAATCGTTGATGCTCTGTTCCGGTGGGGCTCCTGGATACTGGTACCTTACACTCCACTCCTCCTTGCACGGGCACTCAATTAACCCTTCGGTGGGGCAGTTGTCGTCGATGCTGTCTTGCAACCGAGTGCATGCATCGAGCCTGCCACAGCCGCCGCCTCTGTGGGTAGGGCAAGGATCGCATAGGCCCGGGGGGGGATTTCCGCCATAGGCCAAAGCGCAGGTGTGGCAGCTGAAACAGTAGTAGCCGGTAGGGCACTGGTGGTGAGCGGCACAGCCCTCCTGGACAGGATGGCAGCCTCGTCCATTTGCCCGCAGCCAGGCCCAAGGGACTTGGCGGTAGTAGATGTCACCGTCCTCCCAATCGACACGGGCCAAATCACTACCGAGATCTTCTGCCAAAAAGGCCGGGTAGAGCTGGAGGTTGGGAGCCCAGATCGCAAACAGCTTCTCCCCGATGCTGCAGGATGTAGTGTTTGCCACCACGCAGAACTCACAGGAACCGGACGTCAGGTTCGTTGGCATGAAGCAGCATGTGAACTCCGTCTTGGCCCTACATGCCATTGAGGACTCTGGAGTCAGCGGCAAAGGGCCCATATCACAGCCTGTAAACCGCGGAGGCTCGGCGGTTGAGAAGACTTCATCTTCCCGTCGCTGGCCCTCTGTGCGACGAAGCTGGGCTGCATTTTCGCTGCTCTCTCGGGTGACCCGATACAGAAGCGCGGCGCGCTCGGAGGCCAACGAACGAGGCCGGTAGGCTTGCTCCAACTCTTGCCACACTCGGATGGAGCAGTATCGGGGCCGCCGCTCCTTGGGCAACTCTAGGGTCAAGGCTCCAGCCCAGTTCTCATCAATGCCTTCCGCACCGAGAGGTGGGCTGTAGTGGACCATAGTATCCCCAGGCTTCTGGTAGCAGTCTTGGTCGGTCTCGTTAGGCCACAGCTCGTGGAAACATACTTTCCGGCCGAGCGCTGGATTTGGCCCGCTTGGCATGACGCAGGAGTCGTAGCAACCCTGAAACTCCCGCCTCATGTTGTCATTGCATTTCTCATCAGCCCAGAAATACGCGGCTCGTGGAGTGCAGGGGGATGAAATGCAGTGCCTAAACATGAAGCTGTGCACGTCTGCCAGGTTCCGACATCGTGCGAGCTCCACTGAGCTTGTGGCAATACTAGCACATGCCAGTTCCAGTGGACGCAACATTTCTCGAGCGTCTGTGCAGTAGTCTGTGTATTTTGCACCAGTAATGCACCCAGCTCGTCTACTCTGCTGTGGGCAGCTACCCTCCAGGCAGCCACAGAACGCATCGTTTTGAAACTGCTCTGCGGTGCACTCTTCGGCAGTTCGAATCTCGTGGTGCCAGTTGCAGCCTTCAGGTCTGAGGCATTCCTCCCTTGACACGGCCTGGCCTGGAGTAGCTAACGGTCCCACACATGCACTGGTCATGCGTGACTGGTCACTGGCAAGGGAGGAGGCAATGGTCGCTTCGTTTCGATTAGGAACTTCAAGCCCTAACTGCGCAGCCAACAACTCCACCACCTCCTTCCCCAAGCGCCGCGCCAGGCAGCGCACGATGTAGACATGGCGGCTCTCGGATGGAACAGTGCAACGTCCCAGCACCATCTGCTTCACCGGAGATCCCTGGCTGAGCGCCACCCGCACCTGCAAGCTTTCCAGCACGGGCTTCCGGCACCGTGTGAAGCAATCGCTGTCAATCAAACACGGTGTGCCGAGGTACATACCAGACTCTCGATCAAAGCGGCCCATGACATCCGCGTGGCACTGTTCAATAGATCTCCACATTGCCGCATTGGCCTGCTCCTGGACCGCCAACTTCATCCAGCTCAATTGAAGACCAAGTGGCTCCGTCAAACGGCGCTTCCAGGCCATGGCGCCGGCAATAGCCGCCTTCGCAAAACTTGCTCTTCCATGCTCATCCCTGCGACACTGAGCCATTGCGTTGTAGTCCACTGCTGTGAGGACAGATTTCTGAATCGTTTTCGCCTGCTTAGCACAACACTGCCATCTCAGCCGCTGCAAGTTACAACAAGGGTCGAACACAAAGTCGTCATCTTCTGGATCTTTGGTACAGCTCTGGGAGTGTGCAACAACTGGCCGAGACTCAAACCTCAAGCTGCTCTCCATCAGCGACCAGCACCCATTCACTGCATCAGCCGCAGTGTATGAGACTGCACGTTCGCGCATGTTATGCGATCGAAGACGCAGCTGCCATCGGTACACGCTGCAAGGCATTTCCATGGCGGGCGTGGGAGACACAAAATCGTTGCGATAGGCCAAAACACCGACTTTACGTGTCCTTTCTCCAGAATTCTCTGAAGTGTAAGGAGAGTACGTCTCATTTGCACCTTGATCTCCAAACCTGTAATCGCTTCCAGATGTGCCGCCAGGACCACCGCGCCCTCGTGGAGGGAAGGTTGTCCTCCAGTCGGAGATGCAGTGACCATCTTGGCGGCCTGCTGTCAGCACCTGGTCCATGACTGCCTTCATCTGCCGATGAACTGCCTCTAGACTCTCCGATTTGCATGGGAACTTCCGTTCCGGCAAAGCACCGATGCTCTGCACACTCTCAGCCGGCTCCCCCCGAGGACCAACCAAGTAGGGCAGGTCCAAGCGGCAAGGCGCCAGCTCTTGCAATGAGAGTCCCAACTGCTTGGTTCGTCCATGTTTTGTGCGTCTCACTGGCAAGAGAAAGACTGCACGCCGTGAGCTGTATGACTTCGAGGCGTTTGCCAGAAGCCGGCCGATGGTTTCAACGCCAAAAGCAGTCTCAAAGCGTTGAAACCACAGAAGGGAATTGTCCAACGGCAGCCCGTTGATACCAAAGCGTCTGATCCTGGCTAAAGCTGGAGTCATATTGGCTTCATTTGGGCACTTTAGTGAGGCCATAAGCGCATCAAACTTCCAAACAGCGGAGCTATACATAGAGGGTGTGTCACGAACTCCATGGATGAAGGCCGGTCTCCTGTCAGTCAGAGCATTGAAGCCCTGATCGCCGGGCCAAGCCTGGACCTTCAATTGCATCTCTTCGAAGCTTATGCCGCAAATGCACTCAGGCTCCGATTGCAACTTTGGCAACAAGTCCGGAACGTACGGGTACCTGCTGAAGGCCGCTGACAGTGTGCAGCCTGTTGGACAGCTTGTGCAGCGGTCCGCTTCAGCCACGTGGAGCCCACGGGTTTGAGCGCAGCTGATGACATAGACAGGTGCGGAGAAGTGCAAGTCGATCTCCACGTACTCAAGAACCTCGTTTTGTAGCAGTATTCGCCGCTCAGCTCGTGTTGCATGCAATATTTGAAGCTGGTCGTGCTCGGGCTGCCCTGCAGAAAGTGCCAAGAGCAGCAGGAGGAAAACACCCATGAGCCTCATGCGTGGCCTGAGCCCGCAGCCGCTGTGGAACAAGCTATGCCGTAGCTTTGCCACCATCTCATGTCAAATGCGCAAAGCAAACACCGGCAGAAATGCGGACAGGCTCCATTGCTCAAGCAGGTCGGGTCTGTCTGCGGGTCATTGTCGTGAGAAACGTGGCTATTTTCAGCTGGCTTTAACTGACTTCTGCTGATGTTGCTAAAACTTGGATGTGATTGCCACCGCTCAGCTTGTTATGCACGAATGCTGCCTCTGCAGGCTTTGCCGTGTTGATAGCACCAGCAACATGCACTCTGGCTACAGGTATGGGTAAGGCCGGATAAGGCAACACTACCTCCCTGCCAATCAGGTTGCCCATCACTTAGCAAACTTGTTTCGACACTTCCCTTCCCCTTACCCTACGTGTTCCCACGCCAGAAACACACAACCCAGACACATTTCAACGCGCGCATAGCCCGGACCCACGCCCTGGGATCAGCGATTCCAGTCATGAACGTAAAACGGCAAGTCCAACAAAAAGGGCTGGTCTCTCTCAGTAGCCCTCAGTGGGTCGTGCTCGCACTTGTCGCAAGGGGATCCAGATGCGAAGGACAACCCTCCATAACCCTAAGAGGCCGCGTGAACAACGCCGCTTTTGCTGCAGACGACCTTGGGGCTTCAGGATGCAGGGGCGTGGTGGGGACTTGCATGGTAGTGGAGCTTCATACAATCACTTCGCTCATTCGTTCATATGCTCACTTCGTTCATTACATTATAGAGGTTTTATGGTGAACACACTAAGCGTATGAACAGGGTGAGGACATGACTGAGCACCCCTAAAAAGACCGAGGACTGGCCTTCTTAAGGTGAAAACAATGAGGGGCCGAGGTTAGAGGCTGACAAAAATAGATTTGACACTGGCTGGTCAGTGGCACGGATTAGAATCCGGGGGAAAATTGACGGACGAAGCAACAGCTTACAATCGATGTTAAATCGTAGTGCTCGTCGTTGTGGTGGTGGCGCTTGTCGTGGTGGTTCGTCGTGGTCGTGGCGGTGCTCGTCGTCGTCGCAGTGGTGCTCGTCGTCGTGGTGGTGCTCGTCGGGGTGGTGGTGCTCGTGGTCGTGGTGCTCGTCGGCTCCTCCCTTAACAGTGACAACAAGAGAGTGTGGAAGATGAAAGGTCTCTAAGGGTGTCTTCTTGTTCTCTAGACCGCCCATAATAACAGTTCTTGGTACGGCAGAAAGAACCCTGAAAAGACCCTTTCATTCACTGGTGACATTCTTTGGTTCACTGTTCGAAGGCAAAGTTGAGGTGAAGAAAACAATATAATTTGGGGCGCTCTCCATTCACTGTTCGAAGGCAAAGTTGAGGTGAAGAAAACAATATAATTTGGGGCGCTCTCCATCTTTTCTTAATGCGTCCGTACTAGGTATAAATGAATGGTACTTCCTCGTGAATGAACGATACTGATGTTAATCGGCTGGAATGAACGGTCTCTTGGCAGTAAAAGAATTCGATTGAGAGCCGCTGCTATAATAAGACGTTTGGGGGTCATTATGAGTTCTCTTCTTCCTAGGAGCTACAAGTTTAGGAATTTTATGAGAGAACAGCGCATAATCATAATTCGCGTCTCAATGCTCCAAAAGATCGATCACGTGCTGCATCCTTCTGCTCTGGGCTTTTGTATCAGTCGTCGATCTACAAAGAGAACGGAACACCTAGATTTACTTACCCGGGCTTGCACGATATGCTTTTCCGAAGCCGAACGGACTACGTGCTGTCATGCCAGGAACGATTTGAGTGGCAAGAGCGGGAGGGCGATTCACAGCGTGGGGTTCAGATCGAAGGACGAGCAGGCTTCACGCCGAGTCAGTCTAGCTGTTGTCAATAAGTATGAGGTCAATGAGGGATCTACCTCCCAGGGCCTTTCAAGAACAAGTCTTCCCCATCACAAATCAAAACGGGCAACAAGTGAGAAGTGTCTGGGATTGCCTCTCCTGGTACTGCTACCAGACTGACCAAATTGAGGTCCCGTTCGAGTCGTGTTGCGATTGCGCGAACCCTGATCCATAAGTCCCTGGGAGGCCAACAGCCTGCTTAAGAATAGCAACAAAGTTAGAATCCACCGTCGGGAAAGCCCCATCGCATGCTGGGTGGGTGCGTCTCATGCCAACTCACCAAATTGACGAAATGGATCCTCGACGAAGGGCATTTTCACAAGACGGGCCCGCGGACAAATAGCTCCAGAGTTTGCAGTGTTTGGGCGGCAGTAGAAGGAGAAGACGATCTGCCATTCGCCTACAGATCTGCGAGTTCATGGGCTACAAGAGAGTTCTCAAGGAATCCCAGAAGCAGTACAAGTTGTCTCAGTTCCCTCGTGTCGGACAGCACGAGTCTCTGCGACAAACTCCAGCAGACCTGGCTCACTCGAAAGGGTGAACAAAGGAGAACAGAGCTCGGACATAGGAAGTCCCTGACAGAAGCAATGAATGAGACATAACGAGACGAAGCCCAGCTAGCAGAAACGCAAACGAATTCCACCAGAGGCTGCTGTACCAGTCCCTCGTACGACGCGAACATGATTCCTCTGGAAAGAAGCGAAAGCAAGAGTTGAAATTCGATCTCGAGACATTAGGAGAGCAAGTATTGCTATCACTGGCTATCACTGTTTTTCGATTTTCTTGTGTGGCCAGAGGATCTGTTCCACCGCAGGCGCCTTTGGGATGGATTCTAAGGCTTAGGGTGGGGCCTCACTGTGCCTCACTTCTCCGGTGGCTTACCGCCCCAAGCTAGTGTGACGATCCGTGCGCTCTTTTTTCATTTTTAACGTTCGCGCTGCTCACTGCGCCGCTCAAGTGATTCCAGGGCTGCGATGGCTGCAGCAGCGGAAGGAAACTTGGGCTGGACAGGTGCCTCCTCCACCTCCTCTTCCACCTCTCGCTCAACCTTGTCTGGTCTCAACGGAATGATGGGCTAGGCAAGAACATGCAAGAAGATGCAAGAAGTATGTTGGGATGCATTGGGATCGGCCTCTGCAGGCGAGCTGTCGGCGTCAGTGGGCTGGCACTTTGTCGGCCTGGTTCCGAGCAGTCTGATGCGCAGCTCATCCACTGCCCACGTCGCTGTTTTTCTACTAAACTTTGCCAGGGTACATTTCCACTCGGTAGAGGAATCTGTAGTCCTGGCTTCCCCGGCCTTGCAGGAATTAGGATTGCAAGACGTGCGAATCATGCCAGTACACAAACTCTGCCAGCGATGGAGCAGAACACAATGGGACGAATCTTGCGCGGACACGCCTTCTTGCCACGTTGATGGGTCAATCCCAAGAGAAAGCTCGTCGCCACAGCCTACAACCTTGCGATGTTGGACAAGAAGAAGGGTCTTCGTAGGTCTTCAGAATGAACTTGTGACTTGTGATTCCGTGATCCGTGAGGGCCTCCGTCTCCACATTTACAGGGCAGATTCGCCCACGTCCAATGATCCATGAGCCATTGGTGCTGCCCAAATCGCGCCTTCAGAATACAGCGACTCACACACGTTCACCACGGTGAACTCATTCCAGTGGCACCGGGAGTCCGGCACGAGGGCCTGGCCAGGCTGAGGACCTGGCAGCGGCAATTCTTTTGCACCTGTCTAGCAACGAATCAAGAACTGTCTTTCAACTGCTATTTGTTTTACCACATCCTGGAAGGAGCTCTGCGTGGACCCGGCTAATGACCGAGGTCTCCTGCAGCCGGTCGGCCTGCGCACGTATACACACACACACACATATGGTAACACCCCCCCCCCCAAAAAAAAAAAAAAAAAACACGTTTCCATATGCTCTTCCCTGAAGTCCGACAGATCGGCCTCCCAGTTTGGTCATGGTAGGGTTTTAATAATTCATTAAATAGTTTACTCTATTTCACTCATTTGTCTAATGCAATTGATTTAAATACTTTGATTAACTTCGTTGATTCCAAAAAGCTTAATTCACATAGTTTGATCCACTCAGCAATTGCTCGAGCGGGAGCTCCAACAGAAGTGACCGGAACAATTTGCTCGAGATCGTGGATTGCTATTAATTTTAATGTGATTCCTGTCAGTTTTACTTGGGTTCTTATTCAATTGAATAGGATTCATAGCGTTCGTATGAATTCAATAGGAATCCTATTTACATCAATAGGAACCCCATTAGAATGAATGAGAACCCTCTTGAAATTAAGACGAATCCTTTAAAAACTGAATCCTAGTACAATTACTGGGACTCTGGTTCAAATATGTAGAAGCTTATTAAATCAATAGGGACTCCTATTAAAATTGGACTCCTAAATTCAGAGGAATCAGAGGAAGCCCATTGAGATGAATAGGAACCCTTTTGAATTCATAGGAATGCTATTAAATCAATAGGAGCCCTACAAAAACTTATAGGAATTCTGTTAAGAGTAACAGGAATCCGTTTAACATGAAGAATCCTGTTCAGATTAGGAGGACCAATAGAGTTCGATTGAACCCTTTAAAACAAGAAGAGTCATACTGTTAGAATTATTATGAACCCTATTAAAAATTTAGTTAATAGGATTGCAATTAAATTTTATTAGGAATTACAATAAACTTACTGGGAGTCTAATTGAAATGAATAGAGAACACGATTCAAAAAAAAACAATAAATGCACTATTGAATCTAATAAGAACTTGGAACCCTACGAAAACTAATAGGAATCCGTTTAACATGAATGAGAAACCCTGTTAAAATGAATACGAAGTCTATTCAAATTCACCAGAAACCTATTTAAATGAATAGGAAGCTTATCAAAGCAAAAGGGGTCCCAATTAACAATTGTACGAAATCTTATTAGATTGAATGAGCAGCCTATTCAAATTCATAGGAATATGATTAAAATTTGTTATGAAGCGTATTAAAGTTCTCAGGCTTTCTATTAAAATTACTAGGAATAAGAATGCCATTAAAACTGCTAAGAATCTGATTAAATTGAATAGGAATCAATATTAACCCGAATGAAATTCATAGGCACCATTTAATAGGCATCTTTGAGTGCTAGTAAAATTATTCGGAATCTTATTACTTTTAGAAGAA